TAACTTATGAAATATATATTATTCTAATGAGTTATTATCTACTTTAGCCTCTCTTAAAAATTTCATGACATCTTCTTATGATTGAATCGATTATGAAAAAGTGGAAGTAACACTTTAAAATTGTAATTTTTCAATTTGATAATTGATTAGGATAAATTTTTAATTATGAAGAATTTATTTTAGGATATTTTCCCACCTTTAATCAATCTTAGTTAAAAGGAATTAGGATCTTATTGCTTTATGATATAAATAGACAAAAATTATAAATGTTAAATTAATTCCAAAACCCAAAACAACAGTAGCTATATCAATACTTGTACTATTTTAGATAAGATGAAATAATCTAAGTGAGTATAATATAATAATTGTTATTGTTGAATCCAAAAATTCAATTCCTAATATATTAATTACATTGATAGCCATTTAATTGGCTCCCCTAAAGTACATAGTTGCAGAATCTACCTTGTCATCAAAGAAGATCACAGAGATTGAAAAAAATATATTGAGGTATATGATTAATGCTCGTTAGTGATATTCTTTATTGATATTAAAAAATTTTGAAAAAGTTATTAGTGGTACAATTCCAAGTAATGGGTAAATTACTGCATAATTTTTTTAAATTAGTGCAAAAATTGATTTAATGATCAAAAGCACAACAAAAAAGAGCAATAATATTTTAATATGAGTTTTTCTTTTTGGTGATTGATGTTCTTGTTAGTATTTCTATTCAATAGACTGATCTATAAATTTCAATGTTATTTTATGCATTCCAGATTATAAATAATAATTAATATGTTAACTCAATTAGAAGATTATTGCTTAATAAAGAATTTTTATTTGATTAAGAATTAAAATGATGTCATTAATTTAAAATAATTATGATGATGTTCAAAAAAATAATTTTAATTTCTTGATTTGTCAATATTAGTTTTCAAATATTGTAATATTATATTTCTGGCTGTAAATAATTTATAAAGAATAAAATAATAGTTATATATTATTAAATACTTAATTAAAATAAAGGGATTAATAATATTAATTGTGCAAAACATAAGACTATGATAATTGGTTTGGCCGTCCAAAGCCATTCAGCGAACTAAATCAAATAACTGTTTTAAATCACGAATGCTATAATGCTATGAATTAATGAATGTTCAGTTAAAAAAATTGAAGAAAGTAGGTGAAGAATGAAAAAAAAATTTTTAAGTTAATTTTATTATAATATTTAGTAAAAGATTATGACTCTCAAAAAGTAAATTCAGAAAGATTAAATTAAGCTTTAGAAAGAACTTATTAAGAAACTAAATTTCCTTATCTGATAGTGAACAGAAAAATAAATTTTAAATGCTATAGAGAACTAATTGACTAAGTATAAAGTATTGAAGAAAAAGTTCTTAAGTATATCAATTCATATTTTATAGGTTTAAGATGAAAGCAAATCTTTAAAAAACTTTTTTGTTAAAATATTACAATTTATATTTTATTTTCTAACATTTAATAAATAATATTTATGTGTGTATATTAAATTAAGAAATTGATAAAGTTACTTAATTATGATCAATGCATGATTTTCTATTCTTAGTTTATAAAAATAAAGACCTTTATATTTATTTCTCATCCAAATATAAATAAAAACGATGATTTGAAGAAGAATAATAAATTAATCAGAAAAAAACTTTCTATTATATTTAGTTTGGAAATTTATCATTGAAAGTTTATATGACATAAAGAAAAAAATCTTCAAAAAATTATTTTTTCAACTTGTTGAAGGATTTTCATTATTATTGGTCATTGAATATTTAATATTATTTTATAGTTATAATATATAAGCCCTTATTATTTCTACTATTGATTCCAATTTATTTGAATAATGAATAAATTAGAGTTATTTACATACAACATACAATATTTTAATTTTGCCTACAATCTTCATTTGATATGTTCAAACATCATCATTGAATATTAGATTAGTTTTATTCTGGTTCAAAATATTCCATTGCTTACTTAACTAAAAAATACTATTAAATCAATTATCATTATTCAGATAAAAATAGTCAATCTTTTCTTAAAAACTATCCATTTTATATGTATGTAAGTTCTGTTTCTCCAGTAAGTTTGATTGGGATTGCAATTTTCTTAAATTTATAACCTCGAAAATCCAATATTTTATTATATTCAAAGAGATTATAAATAAATTGGCATTCTTTTATATTGTTTTATTTTTCTCGTTTGAGTTAAAGCTATTAGTGAAGCTATTCATATATAATAATTTAATCTTTTTATTACGATTATATTAACTAAACTTTTTATACGTTTTTTTTGGTTTTAAGTACAAGAATGGTCTGTACAGCTCTTAAATTGCACTAAATTCTCCAAAAATAAATGCCTTAATACGACAATTAAATTATCTTCTAGAGCAAAATAGGTATTAGTCAATTTAGTAATTACATGTAATTATTTTTAAATGAGATTTATTCAAACGATATACTGAGATAAAGTTCATTGTATAAAAATACAAAAACAGCATCTCTAAAAAACTTTAAATTAATGGTTCAAATGTTCAGAATTGAATCTAATTTGATTGAAGTAATTATAAAATAGAGTATAAGAGGGGCTAATCCTAAATTCAAAATTGAATGAAATAAAAACAGAATGAAACAAAAAAAATTTTAATATAAAAATTTATAAAACAAAAAATGAATTGAAAATAACCTAAAAATTTTAAATTGTAATTACTTAAAGAATAAATATTTTTCTTTTTGTACTTTATTTTAATTTATATTTGAAATCTAATTGTCATTTAATCATAATTCTATTATTCAATTGTAATAAATATTTATATGCAAATTCATTGCAATCAAGTTGAACATGAAAATTTCTAAATAATTGGAATTTGCATAAACAATAAATGCCAAAATTAAAAACCTTATTGTCATTATTGCTTACAAAAACATTCTGATCATGTTGATAAATTATTACCTAAAGAAAAAATTTATGAATGGATTTATCAAAAAGACGAAATTGTTTCTAATATACATAAGCATATTTAAGAATGTCAATCACATCTTGAGTTTATCAAAAATTAATTACCTCTCTGTTTAAATAATAATATTGAAGACTTAGGAATTTCTTAATTTGATAAATTAGTTACCAATTTATGCTAAATTGAGTAAATTGAACAAGGGCTATTTCAATTAATAGAATAAATAAAATTAGTTTCTAATAAAATCTATAACAAAAAAAAAGTAAATGAAGAAAAAAATGTAAATGAAGAAAAAAATGTAAATTTAAATTAAATTTAAATAAATCCATCATATGAAATTATAAGTAAATAAAAATAAATTGAAGGATGTCGTGCTATTGCTTTTAATAAAGATAATTCAATAGTAGTGGCTGCGTGTGATAAAAACATAAAGGTATTTGAACTTAAATAAGGAGAATTGAATAAAACATAACTTTTGAGTGAACATAAAGATAATGTTGTGACTTTAAAATTTATGATGAAATCTAATCTTTTCGTGTCTGGAAGTTATTGTTCTGAAATTATTATTTGGTATTTGAATCAGTCAAATTAATGGGCTCTTTAATAAAAATTAAATGGACATTAAAAAGCTATTTATTGTTTGATAATAAATAATAATGAAGACTTAATAATATCAGGGAGTAGGGACACTAAAATTAAATTTTGGTTGAAATAGAAGAATTGGTAATGTGAAGAAACCATAAATGATATTAAAAATCCAGTATATTCATTAAGTTTAAATGAAAAATCAAATTAATTGATTGTTAATTCAAAAGATTAGTTTCTATATGTATTCTAAAAATCTGAACTAGATAATAAATGGAAAATTACCTAAAGCATAAAAATAGATTCCCATGGTATAAGATTATGTTTTATTAACGATTATCAATTTATATATTAACCTTATTGTCAGGAATATATGGAAATCTATTAGATGGATAAAGATACCAAGAACTATAATTTCTAATAAAAAATTCCGGTTAAATGTGGTTCAAATGAGGATCTTTCTTTTGTTTAATTATAGTATCTAAAATCATAAGGACTTTTAGTCAATAAAAATGGAAAATATATTAATATCTTAAGGTTGAAAGAAAATAATACATTTTAAACAGAACTAGTTATTTAATTTGATACTAAAGTTAATTATGTAGGACTTAGTCAAGACGGAGATTATTTGATTGGTTGGGACGAAATAGAAAAGTAATTGATAGTCAGAAAATATTAAGGAAAAAAATGAATTTATAAATAAATTCTAAAATTTATGTAAAATTTTTTTGTAATATTTTAAATTTATTTACAAATAATGTTCAATTTACGAGCTTATAAATCATTAAATCGTTCTAACAATTCAAAATAAATATCTAATTAAAATTTAGAAATTTAACTTATTCAGCAAAATATAGAATATGAATACTAAATTATATCTCTAATAATAAAATTTATTCTTAATTTTTTAACTTTTAATATAATTAAAATAAATAATACTTGATTCTGTAAAAAATAAAAAACAATAGAGTTTTTATATTTAATAGATTAAAGTAATATAATGGAGAATTGTAACAATATGATAAATATTGCTACAATGGATCGATAAGGGATAAGAATAACATAGATATTTATATTTGCAAGGATATTTTTTTAAATATTATTAAATTTTCTAATTATAATTGTTTCAAAAAGATTCATAAAATAATAGGGAAGAATAGGATTTAATTAAATGATGGGCTTTAGAATTTAAATGTAACAGAAATAATCTCTAATTCTATGAATAATTTTATTTTAACTATTCATTTATTTTATAATTAAATATTTTTCTGTATTTTTAGAAAGATTGGAAATGTACAAAAATGTTATAGATTTATTTTATATTAATTTTAAAATTATTAGATTAGTCATTGTTATTTCAAATATAATATTTATTTAAGCTTGTTTGAATTCATTCCTAATTCCAACCTACAAATAAAAACAAATATAGACTTTAATTTTATTATAATATAATTAGCAATAATATGAATCTAGTAATAAAGAATCTTAGTAAATTAAAACAAGTAATCTTTTAAAAAATCGCACATATTCCCATATATTTAAATATAAAAACTATCTTAAAAAAAATTAAAAATTTGAGCCATTAAATGTATTAGATCCTCATTTATCATATATATTTATCCTTGATATTCCAACATATCAGATTCATTATTTATTTCTGGTAACTGATGAATTAATTAACTTATCCCTACACAATATTAATATATACAACATATAATAATAAAAATAGTATTCTTAATATTAAAATGCCTTTCAATCAATCATATCATCATTCTGTCATTTATTAGATAAATCTTATGCTAGAATTTAGAAAATTTTAAATAATTGGATATTGTAAACATGCTACTTTAATAAAATAATTTTGAGATTTAAGATTTTTTAAATATAGTAAGTTAAAATCATCATTCTAAATTAATTATCTTATTAAAAAACTTTCCACAAGATCTAAAATACAATTTAAAACACTACATAGAATTTAAATTTAATGTTTACATGATATATAAAACATCCTTTAATACTCATTAAAACTAAAATTAAAAATACCATTATTTATAGTAATATAAAAAAAAATAATAATGAATTGAAATTAGTTATCCTTCTATTAATTTTGATAATCTTAAGTTAGAATAATCTGTCTTGAAAAATAATTTTGATTATTTAAAAGTTATTGTTTAGAATAGAATATACTTTACTATATTTCTATAAAAAAATAGCATGTTATGTAAAGAAAAATTGACAGTTCTAAAGTTTAATATTATTTAAAATATCAATATTAAAAATTTGGTGAGATTATTATTCATTTTATTCTCTACTATAATTTTCTGTTTTTAAATATATAGATTGAATTGAGATTTATGAAATTTAATTATAACAAAAATAACCCTAAAATTATATTTTAATAAATATTTTCATTTTTCAAATTAATCTCTAGATTAAAGTTTCAATATTATGATAAAATTAAATCTATAAATAAAATACACGAACTTGAAAAATCTAGTAAGTTAATATTTATAAAATCCAATAAATTTCATTTTAAATTAATAAATTCTGTATTTATAGACTTAGTCTCCATAAACAAATTTCAATAATATTTTTCAATTAGTATTCTTATAGATCGATTAAAGAACTTAAGAACTTTAAATATATAAGCAATAATTAAATGGGCATTGAATGTTTATTTTTTTACAGAAAATACATAGTTTAGTGCTCTAAAAACCTTTCACAATGATTTAAATAAATTTTAACATCAATAGTTTGCTTTAGTCGTAAATAAAATAATTCACTAATTGTTCAAGCTATTATGTAGATCTTTAATTGATTACTTAATTTCATAAATTTACCAATATTAATTTGTTAATGCTGTTTTTCAGACAAATTGACTAGATGATTATTGTGTATAGTGTTTTATTACATCATTTTGTTCAAAAAAGAGCTTACTCAGTATTTAACTAAAATGATAGCAAAGATGTTCTTGACCCTTTTGGATATATTGGTAACTTAGAAATTACAACATTTACATTAAGAAAAATTTGAAGGATGGAAATTTCTTACAGCCATCTGAAAGATGATTTAGTATTTGATCATATACAAATGTATGACTTTCTTCTTCAATTTCAACAGCATTATTTTTCCAAATATTGTCAAGGGAAAAAATTTTTCTGATAGTTTATGAAGCACAGCCTTTTGAATTTGACAAACTTGGAAGGAGGAAAACTATAGATATTAATTTATTTTCAAATTAACTTGATGTTGACTCTAATAAGCTAAATTTCCATACTAAAAACCAAAATAGTATTATCCACTATTTGAAAGAAAATTATAAGTATTCTTTATTATCCTATTTAAATGAGGATAAATATTTATTAGATAATTTGATTTTAATAACTCTAAACCAAATCCTCCAGTTCCTTCTGAGATCATTAAAGTTTATTTTATCATCTCTCCATTTTTTATCTCCATATGTATAAACAGTATATGGAATAAATTTAATTTGATTACCATAAAGAGATTATAAATTTTTATTTTTTTCATATCCATGCATCAGAGACATATTGATATCCATAAAATCACCTTCAATCAGTATATTTAGTTTATTAGATTTTTTTCAAATAATATAACATTAATATATCCTAAGATAATCAATTTACCAATAAATTTATAAGATTTCAAAAGAATAGATTAGGTTTTTATATATTAAAATTATATTCAAATACAAGATTCTTATAATGCACATTAAATTAGCTTTCTCTAAATTACAAAGATCAAAAATTTTAATTGTTTTTGGATGTTTTTTTCAATTAAAACTATAGTTATTCCTTTTCTCTAAAATTTCATGTTAAAATCTTCGAATAGTCCATGTTATTTTCTTCACATTGAATCGAGTTCTTCTAGAAATTTTAGATGCTTTGAGGATCAATCCAGGAAAAATGTTTTTTTTTCATATATTTTATTTGTATGATTATACCAAAAAAAATAAAAATAAAAAATAAAAAACTTATAATTTCGAATGAGAAATTGTAATATATCTAATAGAAATTTTAATAGAGATTCTAAAAATGTCTTTATTTTTAACTCAAGCTTCTATACACATATATTAAATTAAGAAGTAATATAAAAAGCAATGCTAATCCCACTTCTTAAATTTGAATATATGTTGGAATAAATTAGAACAAATAGACTTTTTTCTCTTTTTTTTGATTGATTGAAGGTTGTATCTAAGGAAAATTTTATTTATTAAAAATGAATACATTTTATTTTACATTTTTATTATATACTATTAAAAAAATGATATTTATTAATTTAAATTTACTTCAATCAAATGTATTTTGTGAAATCCTTTTCAAAATTAACTATTTTGTAATATTGAATTTCAAATTAATAATAAAAAAATAATAATGATATTTAAAATAGAAAATTAAACAGCTCATGTTACTTTTTCTAATTTGAATAACTCTTATTCATATTCATTAGCTAACTTTATTACTTAGGTTGCAGATAATGAAACTTAGGTTTTAGCTATTGTTATGAATTGCAATTAATCTTAATTGAGCAAAAACTTTGCTGATAATCTGACGGTATGAATTTTTTGATTTTACATTTGATTATAGTTTAAGAACACCATTATTCTGGACAAAATAATTAAATCTTTAATATTTCCTAATCTAGACATTACCAATAGAAAATAATTGTAATCGATTCAATAGATTGTGCTATAATGATTTCCTCTGTATAAATTTGATTTTAAGAGTAGTTTATTTCCTTTATTTCAATATGAGTATCTATTTAGTTATTTGGATCAAAAAATTGAGATTACATAAAACCATCAAATTTAGCCAGTTTAAATTAAATATCATGAATACAGAAATAATTATATTAAATTGAATAAATAATAGAGTCAGCCCCTAAGATATTATAAATTGATTACAAGGATAAATCCCAACACTAACTGAAGAGAAATATGTTATTTGAGTGAATAATCTAATATTAATAGTTCCAACATGTTTAAACCCTAAAAGATTTAAAAAACAATTTTATGTAATCCATCCGGCAGGAAAATTGACAACTTGACTCGAACCATTAGGTTAAATGCTTATTATTGAGGGGCCAATTAAAAAAATGTCAGAATTACTCAATAATATTTAATAACCAAATGATTAAAGGCCTTGGAATGAAAAGCTTATAGTAATAGTATCTGGTGTCAAAGTTAATCCCTAAATTAAATATTTTTATACTGTTTAATAATTTTCTTAAGATTCTAAAGCATAGTAGCTAACAAAATTAGAGAAAGCAATATTTATATAACAATTCTTTTCGTAAGAATGGATGTATTAAGTTTAGGGATTAATTATGTTAAAATTATTTATGACTTTGACTCTGTCATCATTAAATGCAAACCAATTGAACTCAACTTAAAAAAATTAAGCTGTACTCTCACAGATTATTTTAACTTTGAAACCTAAAATTATAATTAGGAGATATTACCAGCTGTGGTGATACTAGTTATTTCTAATGAATATCCTTAAGGAAATACATAACTTAAATCGAGTTTATAAATGTTTAAGTAAACATTAGGCACTTAGCTGAATTATTTTTAAAAAGGAATATAAAATTCTTCAGATCTAAATTAGGTTGAACTCAAAAATAAAACTAAATTAGGGTTCGCAAGGTAACTAAAATGAGTGATCAACCCTTATTCAAATCTATGACTAGCCCTTATAGAAAAAATCAACAACAAGAGTTTAAACATAATTATAAAAATATATTAAATCCTATAAGGGAATAATTTAATTTAACAAAAAGAAAATTCAAAAAATTATTTTTTTTGGAAATTGAATTGATATTTGTATCATAGACTATAAAACTATTTAAAAAATAAGGTTAATTTCCGAAATATCACTAACCAATTGATATTTTAATTATTTTCAGGAATCTGCAGATTTCTAGATAATCACTTAAGGTTGAGTATTTTATCCAATTTTAAATATCAATCTATTTTATTTATTGTTTAATATCAATTTTTTTTTAAACCAAAGCTTTTTCTATAAAAATCTAAAATGTCATTCTTTTCGTTCAAAAATTTTTTTAATAAACATATTTAATAATTATAATGTGACTATTGAAACAAGACCCCATAAAAGAGCCAAAACCAACTTGACCTTAGGATTGCTGCTATTAATTTATGCAACTTTTTATATTCTGGCCAATCATATTTTTTTATTTATTTGATTTTAACATTATAAAAAAGCACTTAAATTTAATAAACAGAAATAAGATTTTCTTTATTTGAATAATTTATAAATTAATGATGATATTCATTTATCTCTTGTGTTTGAATTAAACATAAGCATTTGAAATATAAAAATTAGATCCTTTATACTAAATAGCACATTTATCATTGAATATAGATGATGATAATTTTGCACCAAAAAAATATTTTAGTTATGGCATTTGGTCAAAATATAATCCTCTTAGCACAATACTTTAGACTGGCCCTGTTGGAATATTTGATAGTAATTGTTATTTGCTTCATCACATAATTGATAAGAAAACGAACGAATTAAATTTTATTTATTTCGATTGTTTAGATTATGAGGCAAACACAATAAAAAAAACAATAAAGTTTATTAACAGCGAAGAGGAATAAAAAATATATTAAATTAAAATTGATCCATTTGAATATGAAAGCTTTTGGTATTTTCTTGAAATTCTTTAATGGCCTTTATAAAAACGATTTGAAATTTTGATAATATCATAATCTAAAATAATTATTCATGATATTTATGAATAAGGGTACCCGTTTAAGGGGAACGATCTCTAATTTACTTTTGGTAGTAGCTTGATTGTAAGTAATTCAAGAATTGAGTCAATTAATAAAGATTAAAAATTTTCATATTTTCCTGGAACTATTATTATATAAAATTTTAAGATAGAAAATGAACTAAATATTGTTGATTGGTTTGAATATGTGAAAAGCATTTTTTAAAGTTATGAATTATGTTTGTGTTATCCAAATTACACTATAAAAATTTAAGATTAGGATATTAAAACTTAATTCAAAAAAGAAATGATTTCAGATAATTAAAATTGTGATTCTTTTGTTATATTAGGATGGTTTAAGATATAAGAAATCCTTAGTTAGGATAATCAATTTATATATCCATTTATAAAATTGACATCTATATTTGAAAATCCAAGTTTAACTAATGATAACTTATCCCCTCTATAAATTTAATATCACATATCAGATATTTAAAATTAAATTATTGTTACAACGTATAGCTACACTTTTCCTATAGTTTCAATAGATCTTTCTAATAATCCATTTTTAATAGTGAAAACTATTGATGTTGGCAACAGTATTAAATTGTGGCATTAAATATAAGTTAAATTAATGAGAAATTAATTAGATATTTAAATTAAATTTTATGAACAGTTTGTAATTCATGAATATAGTTATTAATTAGAGGTTCATTAATTTTAATAATAGTAATTTAAATTATAATATGGAAATATCTAACAACTAAAATCAAATTACTTGCATATATTAATACGAAATTTTTTTTTTTCAAATTGTGATCAAACATTTTCTGAGTAGAATTGTCATTCAAATTGTTAGGAATGTGATGGTCCAACTAATGAAGATTGTCTATCTTGTCCATTAGAATCAAAGAGAATTTATTTGCCTGAACATAAAGCATGTATTTGTCCTTACAATACAATTGATGACTAAACTTGTATTGGTTATGAAGATACAAATTTATAATTTATTGATGAACCTTTCATTAGCAATGAATGTAAATATGGTTATTTTGAATTAGATAATGAATGCTAAAAATGGTAATATATCTATAAAATATATGTAGTCCTTCAATCATTAGGAAAGACTTAATAATCTGCGTAGAATGTTTGTAAAATCCGAAATCTTTTAGTTAAGACCCCTACTGCAAATATGATTTATACGTCAATTAATTAAATTTGACAGAAATCCTTTAATGGAGCTATCCTGCTTAATTATATTTTGATGGAAATAATATTATTGCATTCGCCGACTATATATTTACAACAATAAACGATTCAGATAATTTATACTTAGATTTTTTATAAAAATCACTTTATCCTTAGTTCAATGATGAAAATTAAATGAGCTTAAAATTGAATACTGAATGTGAAGAGTTATATTTATCAATTGAAGGGGTAAAATGTAAATTGTGTTCTTTTCAGAAAATACTAGAAAATGGCAATTGCATATTTTTAACTGAATCAACAAGAATATGTCAAACTCCTTATTACTTAAGCTCTGCTAATTAATGCAAATTATGCCCAAAAATTAACTGCATATATTGTTTTGAATATTAAAATGGAATAAGTGATTCTTTCAAAAGTACTTTATATAAAAATTTTGAAAGCTTTAATGTTGAAGAATAAATCAATGTTGGCTGTGCAATGTGTGAAGATGGCTTTATTTACGATTTTATGATTGGAGAATGCTTAAGATAATAACCAAAAATTGAAAGTTGCTTAAGATCATTTATCAATTAAGATGGTATTGAAATTTGTACTTTATCTTCTTAAACTGATTTTAGCATTGCACCTGAAATTATAAATTGTGAAAAATATCACTCTAATTGTTTATAATGTGTTTTACTTTCTAAATCAAAGGTTCAATGTATAATCTGTAAGGAAGGATTTATAAGCTCAATAGTTACAGGAAATTGTTATGAAAGTTAAAATGATAATAATGAAAATAGTATTTATGTAATTTAAGGAGAACATTGGTAAGGAGATGGATATATTTAATTAATTTAAAGTTTTATGATGCAATATTTACCTGATTAATATTATTATTCATACACTACAGAATTAATACAAGAGTTTCCAATAAAATGTAAAAATGGATATTAATTATCTAAATCTTTTTCATGTATAAAATATTGTAGTAGCGATTGCTTAAATTGTTAATCTACTTATAATAATTTTATTTGTTTGAAATGCCCTTTAAATTACTACAGAAAACATATTATAGTTGAAATTCTCGGTTAATGTATCACTTGTTCTAATTTATGTCAATATTGTTAAGAGAGAACTGAAGAAGAAATTACTGTAAAATATCATAACTATATTAGGCTTTAAATTCATATTTTTAACTACAGGAATCAAATGCTTAATTTTTAATGAAATGTTTGAAACCAATTGATGATCCAAATATCATTGTCAATCCCTATTTAGGAAATGTTAAATATTGTTTTAATGAGAGTTGTTATAATAGATTTTCCTTCTCATAATATTTTTAATTTTGTTCGCTCGATAGATATTAAAAATATTTATATGAATAGAAAATCAATTTTATATATTGCAACTTGATTGGAGTAGATGAAATGACGATAAATTATATTTTTGAATTTGATTCTACTTGCAAATTTACTAAATCACTTGAATTATTAAATCGCTTAAAGCAGAAAATCTTTTATCTAAGGAAAACCAACATGATTCTTTCTTCAGTTTATCATTCGATCTGGATATCACATTATCAAACAACCATATTAAATTATGATTCAGTAGAAATCAAAAATATTTCACTTTAATTATATGATAGTTTTATTGTTTAAAATGCTAACAACAAAGTTGATATAACCTTAAAAAATATTGTTTTAGTTTATGGAAACTTTTCTGATAAATAGATTATTCAAACTTAAGTGTATGGAAATATTCTATTTTAGGACTTTAAGATTATTAATTATATCTTTATTAATTCATCCTTTTTTCGATTTTAAAAACAATCTAATCCAATTTCAATAACAATCCAAAAATTAACTATCAAGAATTGTATTTTAGATAATTCAACTCTATTTTAAATAAACAATATTTAAGCTACGATAACCATTGAAAATATTCTTATAGAAAATTGTTCAATTTTCAATTCTTCATTTTTTTCTCTTTAAACAGATTTAAACAATATAAATTAAGTCAAATTATTTGATATTGAAATTAACCAATGTAATTTTACTCTTTCCTATTTTCTAATGAGCAATAATAAGTTTAAAATAATGGCAAAAAATCTCTTCATAAACCACAATATTCTTAATAATTCAATATTAATTGCTTTTGATGATGATATAGAATTAATTAGAGTTAGAACAAGTTGGAATACTTTTATTGGATCGTCAATTTTATCTACATTATTGATTATAAATGAATAAAGACTTTTTTGCATAATTGATGATTTTGATGATAGTGAAAGTGCTTTTTAAGAATCAAGTATGATAACTATTTATTCAAGTCTTCAAATCAATAATTTCATCGTTAGTCTTAAAAATATAAAAGTTTAGAAAAATAAACAATTTAATACATTCTATCTACAAAACTTACTATTTAAATTACATTGCCATTCATTAATAATATAAAATGCTTAATTTTTAAATTTGCAAAATATGGTTGTGTTTTATCTTTTTGAAATCAATTAGATTGTTTTGGAATCTGTAATATTTGAGAACTCTTAGTAAGAACATAAAGTTCCTATTTCATAATTTTGTACTGATCAAGTCTAATTTAGGAGTTAACTATTACAAGTTATAGGCTTTCAATAATTATCATTATCAAACATTAAAATTTTAAATCAATTCAGTATTAATTATTCGTTAATTGATATATATTTTAGTAATTAATTCATTATTGATTAAATAAGATAAGTAATATTAGTGAACATATAGTTTAAAGGAAATATATTATTAAAGAACAAATAAGCCATATCATTATCTTTGCTAACTATTTTTTCTCAATATAATTTAAATATTAAATTGGTTGATTTTTAATTAATCCAAAATATTGTACATCAATAAATTGATGAGCCATTTGACACTTAAACTAATTTATTACATATAAGCTCATTAGATAGCTATGTTTAAATTCATAAATTATATTGTAATCAAAATGCTCTAACTAATTCAACGAATCCATTCATCACTCTTACTGCCACTTTTCTTGAAATTTCTAATTTAATATTTATGAATTCAAATGTTTTATCATAACCTTTATGGTAACAATTTTATGATTTGGAATTAGATGATTAATCAACAAGAAATTAACTAAATTATTCAATCAACATTTTAAGTGTTAAATTAAGGAATTTAAGTTTTAGCTTCCATCTTTAGTTGCACAGAAAGTGTTTTTTAAGAAATTATTGCTTTGAAAAGTTCTATTTTCTCAATCAAAACTCAAGGATAAGGAATAATCAAAATTAATAAAATTTAGATCGATTCTGTTTATATTAATCTAAAAGATGATGGAAGCACAGGTTGTATAAGTATAGATTCAACAAACAGCCTTTTAAATACTGAATTTAAATAAATAAAATTTACAAACATCTTTAATAGAATGGCTGCATCATTATTTACTATTTCACCTTCATTAAAATAAAATATCATTGAGTTAAATAATATTGAAATTAAAAATAGCCTTTCCTTAATGAATACAATTATGTAAGTTAGATTTTCAGCATAAGTAATGAAATAAAGCTAAGTAAGTATTTATAATTTATCAATTTATTCAAGCGAAGAAATGTGGATTAAATTCTTTTCCTTTATTGGTCAAATAACATTATCAGAATTAGAAAATATATAGAGAGAAGATAATTCTATGTTATTTTTTGAATATTGCAATATTTAAATAAAAAATCTAGAGGTAGAAGGAATGGTTTTATCTCCAATTTTAAAATTTTAAAATGTTTTTAAATTAAAACTTTTAGATTGTAAACTAATATCTATAAATAAATTATATTCATTTGATCTCATACACATAACTTAAACCTTAAAAATAGAATCAAGAATTTATATTGAAAAACTCAAAATAATTTAGAGTAATACATATTAACAAAAATCAGATGAAATTCCTATATTTTAAAATTTGAATTATTAAATTGCAGGTTGCAAATTGAAGAGGAATATAGCAATAACATAATAAACTATTTATTCAGATATAATTAGATAGATTTAATCTTTTGATTATTATTCAAATCAGATAATGTATGTGCAAAGTATTTCTAACTAAAATTCTCTTATTTTTTAACAGATAGAAATGATTCATAATAATGGATCAGACTTTTCAAATGGAATAATTACATTTGAAGTTGACTAGTTTAAGATTTTTAAAATAAATAATTTTTTTTGCTATTAGAATAGTGTGAAATAAAATGGTTGCATCTATTTTTTGATTTCAAGTTTTATTAATTCAATTATAAGAATAAGGGATTCAAATTTCATATAGAATATTGGAAGTCATGGAGGTGCAATATTAATTTAAAATGTTAGATTCAGGATGACAAATTGTAAAATAATATCAAATTATGCAAGCAAATTTGGTGGAGGATTGTTTTTATAATTAAAAGGTTCTGGTTTTTAAATTAAATCAACAATAATTATTAATAATGAAGCCTTATAAGGAGGAGGTATTTATTTCAACTAGGATGATACTATCAACCTTAATAATTTTATAAAATCTTATTTATTATTTAATAAAGCAACTTAATTTGGAGATAATCTAATTGAATCTCCTCATCATTTAGCATTACTTATCAACAACATTGAAATGCAGTCTAAAAAGTAAATCATTAATTAGATACTTACTGATCATTTAGATCTCAAAGCCTATAAAATGATAGAATAAGGAATTAGTTTCTATACACATTATTTAATGATTCCAAGTAATTAAGTTATTTAAGAATATCAAATTTATTAGCCCTCTAGAATTTAATATTTTTTATATATTACACATTTTAGACTCATTCTTAAAAATAGTTTGAACGAATAACTTCCTAATAATCTGAATACTTCATGCATTCTGATTGATAAAATTGTTTAAGAAGAAAGCCTAGATTAAATAGGTGAATAGAAAGAATAAAAGATTTTACAATTTGATTCATAAAAAGATTACTATGATTTAGGCTCTCTTTAATTCATTCTCGATCCTTATAACTCAGAAAAAAGGCTTTTATAAATTGAAATTAGCTGTTAATCACCTCAGTAATAGAATAATTTAAATTACATACTATAAACAAAAAGCTTAAAATGCTAACTTGGAGAATTTTATATAAATTCTGGATGTGAAATTTGTTAATCAAGTTAAGGGTTTTATTCTGTAGTATATGATGCAACAAAGTGTTCAATATTTGATAAAACAAAATTTAAAAATATAACTAAAAATAATATAGAATTATTGGGAGGTTTTTGGAGACCAAATTTTTTATCTGATTAAATAGAAGAATGCTTTAAAAATGTTTAATTTTGTATAGGTGGTTGGGGATAAGGAAATTATATCTGTGATTAAGGACATATAGGAGCATTATGTGAAGAATGTGATATATATAATATAAGAGGTGATGGAAAATATTTAAAAAATTAAGTGGATTCATAATGTATATCTTGTTTTGGTGTTTAGGATAGTATAATCCCATTCATAGGGACATCAATTTGGTAATTTAATTTATTTTATTCAGGTCATTTATATCTATCATTATAACCTTAAGAAGCATTGATTAATCTAATCAATTATTCAAAAGTTTAAAATTATAATAAAGGTTTAGCAAAATTATTTTTAACCTAGAATAAGGTATATAATTTATTTATTTAAAGGGAATGAAAGTTTTTTAATTAAAATGTTATTAAACTATTTATGGATATACTCTGTTATATTTACATTCGATATAAAGTTTTAATTTTCATTTTCTTTTGTTAATTCAGCTAGTAATACTTCCTACTATATGACTAACAATCTAGATTGTTATTTATCAGAAAATCAATCAATAAAATTGATTTATTCTAAAATAATTACAATGCTGGTACTCATGATATTCTAATTCATGCTTATTCTAATTGTATTTCTTATCTATAATTGGTATAAAAAAATTGGATTAAGCAAATTTAACTTGGAGATCATTTCTAATTCATTACTCTACCTTTATATTTCGAATTATGGTGGATTGATTAAAATGTAATACTACTACATTTATTTTAGGTATTTTTCAATTCTCTCAAAAAGGGATATTTCAAGTTAGAGTTACATTCAAGGTGATGTTTCTCTCCTTTTTGGATCTAAAGAACATTTGATTTGGATTTTTTCCTTTGTTATTCCAGGAATAGGAGTTTTTAGTTTGATCATTCCTCTTTTTCTTTTTATTGTCATGTACATTAAAAAATATTAACATGATACCATTAAAATTAGAAAACATTTTTGCTATCTAATTAATGAATACAATAATAGAAGTTATTTTTGGGAAGAAATTAAGCTAATTAAAAAGACAATTATTATATTAATATTGACATATTTTGAGACTTATATTTTGCTAAAAGCATCATTGTTGGGTTTATGTTTACTTTTTTATTAGTTATTAGCTTTTAAAAAGAAACCATATATTCTTTCCAATTTTAATAGCATGGATTTATTTTCAGCTCAAATTTGCTCAATTACTATTTTTCTTGGTGCTGTTAAATATGTATCAGAGCAAGAAAATAATTAGTTTTCATCAATATCACTCTCTACTGTAATTGTTTTTCTTTGTATTAAACTTTGTTATTCATTTATCAAAGGCATATTAGAAGTTTACAATATAAAATATTCATTCATTATCTTAAATTATTTACATATAATATTGAATAAGATTTCACAAAATTCAATTTTAACAAAAAAATTAAAAAAGCATTTGCAAAAATCAAATTAAAGTAATCAGAGATTGAAATTTTTGATTAAAAAACTTAAATAGCATCTATTGAAAATTTCTAAATCCCAAATTGAAAATCACAGAAAAATCCTTAACTCTCAAAGTTAAACTACTAAATTCTAAATATTTGAATAAAAATACCTTTTAAAGATTGATACTGAATGATTGTTTTTGAAATATATATGAATCCATGATATTTTTTAATAAAATTTAGCTTTTGTCTATAAATTATTTTAATAATCTTTTTATACTATTTTGTTTATTTATAATCATAATTTTTTCAACAAATAAAAATTATTTATTTCTAAATATTAATTGATTGGCTTTTAGATTTTGTATTAAGTGTATACTTCTCTGTTTAAGTAACTTCTACTTTAATTTTTCATTTTATTTCTTTTGTTATATAAGTTTTAAAAATATTGATTGTACAACTTTGTTGATTAAAATCATTAAAATCGAAGTTTAAAATAAATACTGAAATAGAATTATCCAATTACAAAGAGAATATTTTATTAAAAGTTAAAACATTTTAAATAGCATTAACAATTAAAACACCCCTAAATATAATTTTTTAATATTATATTAAGGCAAAAAAGGTAACTCAAAATAAGTCTAAAATTAATTGTTACTAATGGTTCTTTGATTGGTATAAGAGTTTGAGATGCTAAGAATACACACGAATTATTTAGAATCTAAGTTATAAATATATACTAGTGATTGACTTTATCAATGATAGAAAAGAATTGTATTTAGTTGGAATAGAAAGATTTGAACCTTCTCAATATGATAATATTGGGACGAAAAGTTAATGAATATTTTGTTTTAATTGATTTATTAATTTCTAATTTAAATAAGAATTATACTTCTTTAATTTCTGAATTTTATATTATATTTATAATTCAATAAGTTTATTTTGTAACTGATTGACCAATTTTTTTCGAGCAAGTTAATATATCTCAAGGTTACTATATATCTTTTTTCATCTACTTTGTTAAAAATCTTTAGGTTGCAACTTTAAGTCTTTAAGTGTTCAAATTTTTAGGTAATATGAAAATTTTTTAATGATTTTATTAAATTATATTGAAAGATGATCACTTAGCTATAGTATTTTTAAAATTAAAATTTGATATGATAAATTAGTTGACTTTGCATTTAATCATTTACATTGAAAAATTAATAAATTCAAATTTTATGATAGTTTATATGTTTATACAATTTAATTCTATTTCTCAATCATTTATGTCCCAAATTTAAATAATTCTATTAGATTTACATTTCTATCTTGAAGTAGACCTAATATATAATTTATTAATTCTACTCTCGAAGTTAAAAGATATTCTGCTAAAAGTGAATTTTTATTAAATTTGATTTTTATTAATTTTTATTCTGTTTATATTTAAACTCCTAAAATCATAAAATATTTCATTTAGATGTTTATATTGCAAACTTTTTTAAGTTAAAAAAAATTCTTTTTGCTCTTCTCGAAAATTTAATTATTTTAGGTTTTTGTTCTTAATAAGAAATGAGTATCTTTTTTTTTAAAAATATATTTATAAAGCTACTCAAAATTATTAAATAAATATTATTAAATGATTTAAAGTAATAATTATTGCTTGATACATCCTAATTTCTTAGTAGGAGGAATTTACAAGTCATAACACAGCTTAAAAATATAAAGAAAGATTTGTTTGGAGTGTATTTTAAAATTTAAAATACCTCCTGAATAAGTCTTAGCTAAACAAGATTTCATCTAATCATTACTTTAAAAGTCTTAATAATTAAATATGGTGAGCGAAATAAGCAAAAGTGAATCTTAATATATTTTAAAAAAATTCTTATCAAAACTAGATGACATTAAAAAGGAAATAACTTTGATATTTGAAAATATCAAGGAATCTATCTAAACGATTTAAGAATATGAGAAAATGATGGATAATCAATATCTAAAAATTGTTAATTAAGATTTAAATCCATTTGAGTGTTCTGATACTTACTTAGATTTTCTTGTGAATTTTTTAGAAGGAAATATTTTTGAATAAGAGATTTCAAAAAAAAAAAAACTTGTTTCTTAAATTCGAAAAATTGAAGCCGTACTTGAAAAGCTTGTTTCTAATATGTACAATACTAACCACTTGATTGAAAAAATTGGAGAAGATTTGTAAGTTTTCATATTATAAATAATATAGTTTTTAAATCTCTAATAAAGAAACTATTTTTCATTTAGAAGGAATAGAAAATGGAAATAAATAGTTAAAAAAAATTTAATTTGATGTAACAATTTCTTAAAATGGAAATAAAGTATATAAAAAAGATGGATAGATAATAAGAGAGTAAATAAAATTTAAAATTTTAGGGAAAAGTAAAAGTTAGGAGCAAAAAAAGAAGAATTTATATATAATTTAGAACAAATGAAATATTTAGAGTTCGAAGGATAATATGGAGTTAAAGGTTATAAAATTAAAACCTGGAAGTACCTGTGGAAGGGAAAACATATTGGAGGTGGTAATTATAATATTATGGGATAAAAGGAAGGAAAGTGGATTGAGTTAGGTGGAAATTATTGGGAGATTTAATACTAATAATAAAATTAGTGAAAACAAAGTTTTAGAAATTGGATGTTATTCTTAAGGAAAAAAAACAGGATTATGGTTTTTGAGCTGGAATAATTTATAAATGTATCAATCAAATATAATAATTAGTGGTGGTGGATCTTATAATTAAGAGAGAGAAAATAAAAAAATAGGAAATTGGATAGAGTTAGATGAATTATTTAATTATGATAAATAAGTCACTTATAGTGGTGAATATAATATTGAAGGTATGAAGGTAGGGAGATGGGACATTACTTATTGTAAATTTAATGAAAAGGAATTTTAATAGATGTATATATTATATCAGTATAGTCAAAAACATTTAGTGGAGGAGGATCATATGATTAAGAGGGAAATTAAAAAAAGATAGGAAAATGGATAGAATTGGATAAAATGTTTAATTATGATAAATAAGTCACTTATAGTGGAGAATATAATAAATAATAAATGAAGGTAGGTAGATGGGATATTAGTTATTATAAATATAAAGAAAAGGAGTTTCATTAGATGTAAATATTATATAAATATGGTAACGTTTTAGTGGTGGGGGCTTATATGATTAAGAGGGAGAAAAAATTGGAAAATGGGTAGAATTAGATGAAAGGTTTTGTAATCCCAAACAAGTCACATATGGTGGTGAATATAAAAAGGGCATCAAAGTAGGAAAATGGGAAATATGCTTTAAGGGTTTCGAAAGCAACTCAGAATATTAATAAATGTAAATATTGTTAAAGAATAGTAATAATATCTAAGTGGTGGGGGATCATATGATGAAGAGGGAGAAAAGATAGGAAAATGGGTAGAATTGGATGAAAGTTTTTGTAATCCAAAATAAGTCACTTATAGTGGTGAATATAAAAAGGTTATTAAGGAAGGAAGATGGGATATATGGTTTAAGGGTACTAATAGAAACTCAGAATATCAATAAATGTAAATATAATATATTAATTGGATCTAAGTGGAGGGGGATCGTATGATTAAGAGGGAGAAAAGATTGGAGAGTGGATAGAGTTAGATGAAAAGTTTTGTAATCCAAAATAAATTACATATGTTGGTGAATATAAAAAAGGTATTAAAGTAGGAAGATGGAATATATGTTTTAAGGGAACTGATTAAAATTCAGAATATCAATAAATGTAAATATAATATTCTAATTAAATCTAAGTGGAGGTGGATAGTATAATTAAGAGTAAGAAAAGATTGGAGAGTGGATAGAGTTGTCATAAATGTTTTGTTATTAAAAACAAATTATATTTAATGGTGAATATAAAAAGAATAAGAAGATAGGTAGATGGAATATCATGTATTGTAAAGAGGGAGATAAGGAATATCAATCTATGTAAAATTAAATACAAGTTTTTTATTAATATTTTAGTGGTGGCGGTTCATATGATTAAGAGGGAGATTAAAAAAAGATTGGATAGTGGGATGAGTTGGATGAAATGTTTGATGTTTTTAAAATTGTTATTTATTCTGGTTAATACAATGTGAATAGCATAAAAATTGGTAAATGGATAAAGAGAATCAGAGAATATTATGAAGTGGAGTTTTATAACCATGATGAAAAGATTTATGATAATTGAATATTATTAAAATTACATGTTATTTTAAAATATTTATTTTTTGTTTTGTTTCTTGATTAAATGTTTATTGATTTTGCTCTAATGTTTTGGTATAGAATTTAATTTTTGAGATTTTTCTAGTTTAACTTTTTTTTTAATTTTTGCATTTACTAAATATATCAATTAAAAACTTATATACCTCTTTAATCAAAAAGTGTTCTCATCGATTGAATTGTTAATCCATTAAAATATTCTTTAAGTATATAATTGGAAAACTCATAAAAATTAGATAAATATTCAAATATATAGATCTACAAAATATTCAATCAATTCATATAGAAAAAATAATCTGTGATATGAGATTTACTGATTTTCAAATTTTATTTAGTATGATTAATAGAATAATCTATAGCAATAATACTTTTCTTTTGGAATAAAAAAAAGAAAATAAAACCTAAATGTGAACGAAAAGTTAAAGATCGAATAAAAGATTTAAAAAAATTATTTTCTTATATGTTTTTAAACATTATTTTATCGTTTTTAATAATATTTTCATGAAAAGTAATCATGTGAATACTTTTCTTTTATTATTTTGCCTTATAAATCTCAATAATCTCCAAAATTAAATAAAATTCTTTTATATAAGCTACAGTTTATATTAGGATTGTTAGTTATTTATTGTAAAAATTTGACACTTATATCAACTGTTAAATTAATGTGAATTAAACTTTGAATGGTTTCTTAGGTATCTTCAGACTCTTTATTTTTCAAGATTGTAAAACATTTTATACAAAAATCCATGTATCCCTTTCAAATTAAATTAAATTTTACTAAATCTCCTATATAAAATCATGGTTTAGCATTTACAGAAATTGATTTAAGTTCATATGAACCTTAACCACCAAATTCGCTTTTTTTCATTTAAGATTTCTTCCAATTTTATTAAATCAATGTTGAAAATTTGTATATTAATTAGTATCCATTCCAACCTAAGTATCATCATAATATTCTACACATAAATGTTCATCCTTAAAATAACAATAATATTATTATCCTTCCTATGAGATATCCTTATTGAATAAAATACATCAACCACAAGGATATTTAATTGAAATTGTTTTGGAAATATTTTTTTTACTTAATTTAATCATATTTTGATATTATTTCATAAAATTTTCTCCAAACATTTAATCAAAACGGTTTTACTTAATTTTCTCTAATAAAATACAAGATATTGGTCAATCTAGTTGAATTTTTCAGGAAAATAAAACTCTATAGATTCTTGAGCTTCATTAAACTAATTTTTAATGTTCTTTAATTCTCCTTCTAGTTAAAGTAAATATGGATAATCAAAAATAAAAAAAATCATATTTTAAAAAATCCTTTTGCACTTTGAGCTTGTAATACAATTTTTAAATTATTAGGAATATTGTTCCAAAATATTTCAAGAAAATCATTTATTTTTATTTCTTCTTCAAGTTTAAAATCATATGAAGATTAGAGTAATTATCTATAAACAATCAGACCTTGATTATTATTTTTCCATTTAATTACTTTTTCTAAGGTAATCTTTATTAATCCTTCTAATTTTTCATTTGATAAAGCAATATACAAAGTTTGATTTTTTTTTAACTCTGAATATTATACTTTCGTTATTGAAATTTATTTTTTATTTACATTATCTTCCTTTTGATTATATAAATTTTATTTCAATTCCAAATAATTCATTGCTTATCCTAATTATTTTTTAAATCTTCTAAATTAGTTCTTTTTGGATATCCTTTGTAAACAACACGACTCCATTTATTTAGAAAATTATAAATGGGATTGTTTCGAAAATATTCATAATCTCATTTTCTTAATCCCAACGTTTTAACGTTTAAGTAATCGATAATGTTTAATAAGTTTCCATTTTTTTGTATTTATTCTCTCAAAAATCAATTAAATTAAATCGTCTGCTGATAATCTAATAATCTTTAATTTATTTTACCAATTTGGATTTTATTCTAACATATTTTAATTGTCCTACATTGGTGTTTAACATGAACCTCACTAATTAGCCTAATAATATTTTAATATATTTATACCCAAATATCAATCAAATTCACAATCCCAATTTTCTATACTTATTTAAAAATGCTAAATCGAAACAATATTTAATAAAAAATTTATCAAAAAAAATAAACAGTATCTTTTTCAGTTTGATAAAATATTATATTAAATTGATGAATAAAATATTAAATTCAAATAAAAAGAGAGGAAGCAATATGTTTTTTTTCCTTTTTTTTTTATCTTTTCCATTTTAATATTAATTATCTTAGTTTTCTTTTGATTTAAAATCCATACTTTACTAATGGTGCCATAATACCTAATGATAAAAGTCCAATCTATCCGAATCCAATCAAGACTTTTGTACTCTAACTAAAATATTGTTAATATTATTCCACATAAGGTATGCTTAATAAGCAAAAAATAATTACTGGCAATTCAAACATTAGAATTATTATTAGATCAATTCTATTTTAGATCATTTTACCAAGAATAATTATCGTTAGATATATCGAGTTTATCAAAGGTATTAAAATCAATTAGAGTAATGAATTGTTTTAGGATCCAATTAAAACTAAAAGAAATAATAACTTTTTGATGATAATTAATCCTTCATGAAAGAGACTCTTCCTTTTATTCTACTTTATATATGAATCCTTTAATTTAAAAATGGAGGAAACCAATAACATAATAATTATTAAAATTGAGCTTGCAATTATATTTTAGAATAAATTTCTTAAATTATTGTCTTTTTTAGAGAATAGATATAATAAGATCTTAAAAAGTAGATCCCAACTGTTTGCTTAAATAATATAAAAGACACCTTCCATTGATATTATTTTATGAATATTAAAAGTTAATACATTAAGTTGATGTATAAAACTTGCAAATTATTGAGAGAAAAGTTATTAATTATTTTTGTAAATGAAACTCCTTAATTAATTATAAAACTTTTGAAAGATCAGCTTTATATAAATTTTTGAGGCAATTAGTAGTGCCATTGTCATTCCAATTTATGCAACCAATCCTGATAAATTAGAAATTAAATCTGAATTGACATTGTAATATAAAAACATTCCAAAAGCTTAAATTTACTCTTACCCCATTATATTGTCTAATAAATTAAGTATTTAAAATTTTTCTAAGACAGGCATTATTGTTACTACTTCAGATGATTAAAAAAAAATCATGACATTTTCTGGAAAATTTGCATTAATAAATTTTAAATTAGATTAATACTACATTGTATCCAAGACTTCAAAGCATTCTACAGGATTACCAGATAATAAAATAATAAAACTTGAAATACCAAGACCAATAAGTATGTACATATTTAATGAGCTTATCTTATGAGATACTAGTTTTTGAGATTCAGTTAAAACTATGGCATTCTTTAAATGGAGTTTACATAAATAATTTTCAACTTCAAATCCGAATTAGTCAATTAAACAATTTTCAAATTAAACCTAAAAGTAAATATCAGTAGTTTCTTATTCTAAAAATTTAATTTAAAATATATAATTGATATCTAATACTTAAATACTATTTAGAAAAAAAAGATTTTATGATTAAGGATATTAAAGTATAAATTAAATTCAACAATTTTGTAAGTTATATTTTTTGAAAGCTTTGATAATACTGAGTAATAAATTATATAATGAGAAACATTTACATCAATAAGAGAGGCTTTTAAACTTTCAGTAAAGTTTTAATAAGAATCTTTTAATTTGACCTTACTTGTAATTTTAAGTTAAACAAAAGTAGATTCAAATGTTTGATTAATAAATAATAATTGAAAATGTGGTGGATTAATTTAAACACATATGCTAGTTTCATAATTAATTTAGGTACATGTCCAATTAATTTCAATTTGGCATTAATCAGAACATCCATCTAAAGATATTAGATTATTATCATCACATTCCTCTTGTTCTGATTTAATGCCATTTCCACATACATCTATGTAATTAGTATTATTGATATTGTAATAATCATCATCATATTCAAAACATTATCCATACACACAATTTAAGCAATTTAAAGAACATGAAAATTCACATAAATAACATCCATCATATGGAATTTCATTACCATCATCACATTATTCATTTGATACTATAATTTAATCACCACAAATTGAATGACATTAATTATTAATTAAATAATATCCAGTTTCACATAATTGATTTTTTGAATCAAGACATTTTTATTGATCACAAATTTAACAATCTTTTTAACATTAAAATAAGCATTAATGACAACCATCATATTCAATCTAATTACCATCATCACATTATTCTATACCTTCAATAACTATTCCATCCCCACAAATAGGAACACATTCTTAATTCTTAACTTCAAAAAACTCTTGACATTATATGCAATCTAAATTTTTATTGCAAAATATACAATTTTATTTACATTCAAACTTACATTCGAAACAACCATCATTACTTTCACTATTTTTATCATCACATTATTCTTACTCAAGTAATGCTACTTTACCATCACCACATTCTGAGATGCATTTAAAATTACTTAAACTCCATCCTTCTATGCATTTAAAACATTAAGAATAATTGCATTCTAAACATTCTATTTAACAACTAATTTAACACTCATAGCACCCATCAAATTATTATGAATTATCATCATCACATATTTCATATTCTTATATGATACCATTCCCACATTTAGGAATGCATAAATTATTTTTAGATATTTCAAAATCTTCCTAACATATTTGGCATTCATTTAAAAAGGAAACTTTACAGTTTTAAGGAGTTTCAAATTGACATATATTATATTCATAAGCAAATATTCCATAATTCTTAATATTACATTAATCATCATAATAAGATTTATAATCTGTATTTATTATGATATTCTGCATATAATTATTAATTAAAAAGTTTTAAATTTAACAATAATAACCTTCATTATTTTATGTTAAATATTCTCTTATATTTTCATTTTATTCATCATAACAAGTAAATTAACAATAATTATTTATTAATTTATATTAAGAGTTACATATCTAACATTTTCCAAATTCACATTAAATGCAATTTAAAGGGCAAGAAAACTAACATTCATAACATCCATCAAAAGGTTGATCATTTCCATCATCACATTTTTCTGGATATACAACTATTTAATCTCCACATTTAGGGAAACATTATCCAGAAATTGTATGCAAAATCCAAGGAGTTAAACATTAAGTGCACAAACCCTTGATACAATTACGACAACCTTCATTGCAATCATAAATATTAGAAAAACAACCATCAAAAGCATATATATTATTGTCACTGCAAATAATGGTTTGATCTAATTCTTATTTTTTTTGTGCATCTGTATATACTTCAAAATCTCGAATGCCATAAAAAGGAGTAAAGGTAGAAACTGTATTAAATGCTGAGATTTCAATAGTTATAGTTAATGTAGAAGAGCTACTTAAAAATTCCCCTAAATCAATTTTATCTAATTTTAAATAAGACCCACAAATAATATTAGAGCTAGTAATTATATTAATAGGAAATGCAGTATTAGCTAATAATAAACTATTTGCTTAAACCTTAATAGTAATTGATCCAGTAACATATAAAGATAGAAACTTAAATTAGATCCTAACCTTTGTGTGTGGATCAGGTAAGCTTAAATGATTTGATACAATTTCTGTCATTAAAAATTGTCCATAAAAGTAGAAACCTAAATATATTTAATATATATATACTTCCACAGACTTATGTATTATCATATGGAAAATAATCTTTTTTCCATCCTTATCCATCATTTAAAACTATTGTATTAAAATATATAAGCATTCTACTCCAATTTAAACAGTTTCCAGTTTAATCACAATAATCACATCCTTTTGGACATTTAAACACTGATAATATGAAATCCGAAATACCCCAGGATGCTGAAGGCTAGAGTGAAATAAGTGTAATAATAGCACTGTTGCCATTATGATCAATCACATTACTTATTTAGTAAACTTCTCCAAGTGTATTGCTTCCACAAATCTGAGTACCTGTTGAAACATTAGGATTATCTTTGTATGCTTTAAATCCATCAATATAGAATGTATAGAATGAACCTTGCCAAGGATCCAATCTATAAATATTATTTTAAGGTACCTCCAGAATTTGAATTCAAACTTCAACTTATAATGAGCAGGAAGTATAATTGTTTTTGTTATTGTTGTATCACCAGTAAAAATAGAAGGTCCTCCAAAAATAATTGAACTTCCACAATTTGTTATATAGTTTGAACCCTGAGCCTTATAGGTCTTCCAATCTAAATTATCATATTATAGTTACAGTCTTCTGTACTGAAGGGTGTGAAGAAGGATTTACTAATTTCTGTTTATGCCATTGCATGATAACTTATTTGATTTTCCAAAATCAAACTTATCAATATAGAAAAACTAAGGAAGCTTTTAAACTTAACTCTCATGTCTTAAGATAGCATTGTTAACCAAATCATTTTAGTATTATATTAAATACTAAAGATTTTAGCAAATCAATTCAGAAATTTAAATGTGCATTGTTACTTAGTATCTTAAATGAATTTTTTTTATTATATCATCCGCAATACACGTTAGAAAATAATTAGTTTAAATTTGAAATTGAAAAAATTATATTTCATTGTAAGGCCCCTCTTTTCATTAATTAAGTAAAAAATGATTTTTTTTATTAACAATCTATATTATTACATAATTATTTTTTCAATTAGTTTATTTTGCATTTGCATTTTTTTCTAGTATGCAAAACAATAATAACCAATCTAAACTAGGTTATATATTCCACAGAATATCTAAACTATAATACATTATAATCGTTTTCATAATAATAACTTAGACAAGGATTCTTTAAAATTTAACTAATTAATATTCTTTCATCTCAGTATCCTATTTTATCTAATAAGAATAAATTTTAACAAATTTTAATTTATCCTGTCATTTACTTTAAATGTAATTTTTTTTTGTTTACTAATATGGATTTTAATATAATTCATTATTTAATTTATTTATATTTGAGCATATAATTTTTAAATATAAAATATCAATTAATATAAATGTTAAAGTCCTCTTTTTTCCTTTATTTAATAAAATATACACATTAATTTTAGATATTTTCAATACTTTTATAAAAATTCTACATAAATAAAATTTAAGTATCTGGATACTTTGCATTTCTAAATTTAACCGCTAAAAAATCAATTTTTTTTTAATCATGAGAATTTTATTTTTGTTAAATTAGGGTAAAAATTCAATTATTTAATATCACTAGATTTGAAAAAATGAATTCGTGTATTTAAAAGGGGTGGAATATTTTTTTTTAATTTTTAATTTATTATTAATATAAACTTATTTGAATTATATTTTTGATTTTTGAATTAACTTAAATAAATTACAAATTTTTCCTCTTATATTATGAAGAAGAATTAGAATGATTCTTCTAAAACGGAGATTGATAATTTCAAGTTTTTTTTCAAGTTCTTATATAAATTTTGAATTTAGGTATTTCTATCCATAAAATAATCTTACCATACATAATAAAAGTGATTAAATTTGATTAAATGAATATTAAAAGTGAATTATTTAATAAATCTGAAAAAAATTTAAGGTTATTGTACAATTCTAGACTAAACTATAATAAGCTATTCTCAATAAAGATTTTGTAAAATTTAGGTTAAATTTAATTATCTGTTAATGCTTAGATATTAAAATAATAAAGTAGATTTTATGATATTATCAATAAAGATTATATTGTTATATCAAATTGTATGAATTCAAACGAGTTTAAATAGAATGCCAATAATAATATTTAATAGGATTTTATAATCAAGATACATTTTGAAATTAAAACATAATGAAATCATAAATCTAAATTTCATTCAAATAGAAAATATATTTACCAAAAATAATTTAGTTTGAAATAAAAATTATTAAAAATCTTTGATATAAATAAGTAATTACAATCAATTTTTACAAATGATGAAATAAAATCATAATTTAAAGATTTAAAAGAAGAATGATTTATATACAAAAATTATATAATGGCTTGAAATTCAATGTAAATTTGGAGAAAAAAATAAATAAATATTATTTTACAAAATTAAATTTATTAAAATAATTCTCCTCTATTAAAAAAAAGAATTATAATTTTAAATAAGATAAAAATTTAGTAACATCTAAAAAGTTTCCTTTTTAAATTTACCATGATATTATTATAAAGATATTTTTATATGAGTTAAAGTAATTAATATAATCACGAAACCCTAATATAAAAGGATTCACAGTGTTTTACTTTAAAATTTTTCACCATTTAATTTAAAGAATCTTAATGATTAATTTTCAAATTTATGAGAAAAAAATGGATTATAAAATAGATCAATCTTCAAAAAATTTGAGAACAATAAAATATATTCTTGCTTTTATAATATTTTGAAATAAATTCATTCTATTTCTATTCTTACTTATATTTATTGAGATTAATTATCCCATGTTATTAAATATTTTCCATCTGAGCTGATTGAACCAAAAAGAGAATTATGTTCAAATTAAATTGAATGATCTAAGATAAATTAATTGTTTTCGATTCTCCTGATAATATTTATAAAGCATCCATTTTTAAAAATTAAAATCTGTTTTTGTTTTATATATTATGAAGGAAAAAAACAAGTATCATTATGACATCCATTAATTTTAATTTCATTAATTTTTTCATATGGTTGATCTTAATTCTATGTTTAAAATATTTGTAAATTTTATTGATGAATAGGTTGAAAAATGAAAAAGTTATCATTCACAAAACATAATCTAAAACCTCCAAATTCTGTTTAAATTTTTTGTGTTTATATCCATAGATGATTATCTTAAGAATATTTAAATACTAAAATGAATAAATCATCTCCACATGAGATTAAATAATTTGATTATTCATTTAAGCTAAGAGCATATACCCAATTAAAATTATTCTTAATTATTTATGAACAATCCCAAAAGTTATCTTGACTCCAAAATCTAATTGTTTTATCACATCCACTTGAAATAATAAGATTATCGTCAATATTAATAATCATACATCTTATATAATAAGTATGACCAAGTAATTTCTTTTAAATGATAAATTTGTTGTCATTAATCAACTACCATATGATTATCGAGTTGTCACTGCTGGCAGAAATAAAAGAACAAAATTTATTCATGAAACATAAAATATCTACATAACCTTTGTGTTCTTATAAAACCTAAATTTGTTTTATCAAATCCTAGCTTAATTTAAAAACTCTAATTTTACAATTACTAGCAGCAATCACGATATTAGAATCTTAACTAATTGAAATTGCTTAACACAATTCTGGTTATTTTATTGAACTTTAAAGTAATAATTTATATTTTTCATTCTATCTGATATAATTTTTACTTTCTTTACATTAATGTTGAGATGATTATTATCCCATATGATGGTAATTATTATTTATTTATTATATATATTTATTCATTAATTTTATAAATATAAATATTTTATTAATTTAAATGATAAGATACACCAATAAAGTATGAAGTAATTCATTAAAGGTTAATGATTGAATTTTTATAATAAACAAAATATTCTCATTCAAAAATTTAAAACTTTAATTTTAGTCCAGTTGACAAACATTACATTCTTAAATTGATTTTAATTTAAATTTTTAATAAATATTAATAACATCATCATCTAAATTAATATTTTCCTTAACTTTGAAACTTATTTAATTTATTTGCATTTTAAAATAATTTTTTTAAAATTTAATCAAAGTTTTATCATTATTCCTATCACCATCTAAAAGAATAAGAATTTATAGATAATAAAATTGCTAAAATGCCAGCATTCAAATAATATATTAAACTTGAAAAAGAGCTAAAGGATTTAGATTTAAAGCACAATTTGATTAGTGAAAATATACTTGTAAAAATACATTTATGATACAAATATGTAGCAGATTCGAATATTAGAAGAGAATCAAATTTCAAAATATTTTTTCTTTTTTTATCGATATTTAAAATTATTAAACTATTTATGATGGCTATAGTGTCAATAATTTAATTCAATTCAATAAATAAATATCAAATACAATAAAAAAAATTGTAGTAATTCATATTATAATTTGATGGATTTTAATAAATATTGTTACTTAANATATCCATAGATGATTATCTTAAGAATATTTAAATACTAAAATGAATAAATCATCTCCACATGAGATTAAATAATTTGATTATTCATTTAAGCTAAGAGCATATACCCAATTAAAATTATTCTTAATTATTTATGAACAATCCCAAAAGTTATCTTGACTCCAAAATCTAATTGTTTTATCACATCCACTTGAAATAATAAGATTATCGTCAATATTAATAATCATACATCTTATATAATAAGTATGACCAAGTAATTTCTTTTAAATGATAAATTTGTTGTCATTAATCAACTACCATATGATTATCGAGTTGTCACTGCTGGCAGAAATAAAAGAACAAAATTTATTCATGAAACATAAAATATCTACATAACCTTTGTGTTCTTATAAAACCTAAATTTGTTTTATCAAATCCTAGCTTAATTTAAAAACTCTAATTTTACAATTACTAGCAGCAATCACGATATTAGAATCTTAACTAATTGAAATTGCTTAACACAATTCTGGTTATTTTATTGAACTTTAAAGTAATAATTTATATTTTTCATTCTATCTGATATAATTTTTACTTTCTTTACATTAATGTTGAGATGATTATTATCCCATATGATGGTAATTATTATTTATTTATTATATATATTTATTCATTAATTTTATAAATATAAATATTTTATTAATTTAAATGATAAGATACACCAATAAAGTATGAAGTAATTCATTAAAGGTTAATGATTGAATTTTTATAATAAACAAAATATTCTCATTCAAAAATTTAAAACTTTAATTTTAGTCCAGTTGACAAACATTACATTCTTAAATTGATTTTAATTTAAATTTTTAATAAATATTAATAACATCATCATCTAAATTAATATTTTCCTTAACTTTGAAACTTATTTAATTTATTTGCATTTTAAAATAATTTTTTTAAAATTTAATCAAAGTTTTATCATTATTCCTATCACCATCTAAAAGAATAAGAATTTATAGATAATAAAATTGCTAAAATGCCAGCATTCAAATAATATATTAAACTTGAAAAAGAGCTAAAGGATTTAGATTTAAAGCACAATTTGATTAGTGAAAATATACTTGTAAAAATACATTTATGATACAAATATGTAGCAGATTCGAATATTAGAAGAGAATCAAATTTCAAAATATTTTTTCTTTTTTTATCGATATTTAAAATTATTAAACTATTTATGATGGCTATAGTGTCAATAATTTAATTCAATTCAATAAATAAATATCAAATACAATAAAAAAAATTGTAGTAATTCATATTATAATTTGATGGATTTTAATAAATATTGTTACTTAANTTAAATTTTTTGTGTTTATATCCATAGATGATTATCTTAAGAATATTTAAATACTAAAATGAATAAATCATCTCCACATGAGATTAAATAATTTGATTATTCATTTAAGCTAAGAGCATATACCCAATTAAAATTATTCTTAATTATTTATGAACAATCCCAAAAGTTATCTTGACTCCAAAATCTAATTGTTTTATCACATCCACTTGAAATAATAAGATTATCGTCAATATTAATAATCATACATCTTATATAATAAGTATGACCAAGTAATTTCTTTTAAATGATAAATTTGTTGTCATTAATCAACTACCATATGATTATCGAGTTGTCACTGCTGGCAGAAATAAAAGAACAAAATTTATTCATGAAACATAAAATATCTACATAACCTTTGTGTTCTTATAAAACCTAAATTTGTTTTATCAAATCCTAGCTTAATTTAAAAACTCTAATTTTACAATTACTAGCAGCAATCACGATATTAGAATCTTAACTAATTGAAATTGCTTAACACAATTCTGGTTATTTTATTGAACTTTAAAGTAATAATTTATATTTTTCATTCTATCTGATATAATTTTTACTTTCTTTACATTAATGTTGAGATGATTATTATCCCATATGATGGTAATTATTATTTATTTATTATATATATTTATTCATTAATTTTATAAATATAAATATTTTATTAATTTAAATGATAAGATACACCAATAAAGTATGAAGTAATTCATTAAAGGTTAATGATTGAATTTTTATAATAAACAAAATATTCTCATTCAAAAATTTAAAACTTTAATTTTAGTCCAGTTGACAAACATTACATTCTTAAATTGATTTTAATTTAAATTTTTAATAAATATTAATAACATCATCATCTAAATTAATATTTTCCTTAACTTTGAAACTTATTTAATTTATTTGCATTTTAAAATAATTTTTTTAAAATTTAATCAAAGTTTTATCATTATTCCTATCACCATCTAAAAGAATAAGAATTTATAGATAATAAAATTGCTAAAATGCCAGCATTCAAATAATATATTAAACTTGAAAAAGAGCTAAAGGATTTAGATTTAAAGCACAATTTGATTAGTGAAAATATACTTGTAAAAATACATTTATGATACAAATATGTAGCAGATTCGAATATTAGAAGAGAATCAAATTTCAAAATATTTTTTCTTTTTTTATCGATATTTAAAATTATTAAACTATTTATGATGGCTATAGTGTCAATAATTTAATTCAATTCAATAAATAAATATCAAATACAATAAAAAAAATTGTAGTAATTCATATTATAATTTGATGGATTTTAATAAATATTGTTACTTAAACATAATGTGATATCAAATTCAACTAAAAATATTTTCTCTTCTTGCTTATTATTTTGTTAAACAGAATTATACTCTTTTTGCAGAATATTATATATTTAATTGTATTTTTGTTGGATTTGAATCTATGAGATTTAAACTAGAAAAGCATTGTCTTCCTTAAAGTTTAATTTTGTTTACAATATCTAAAACTGAGTTCTGATATGATGGGTTTTTCAATATGCTTTTAGGAGTGGAAACAGAACTTAAGGATCTTCCTCTTAAAACATTTTAATCATATTATTGTATAGACAACTAGGAAGATCTCTAAGATTGAAGTTATTATTGCTTTTTTAATTTTAATTTTTAATGATTATGTTTCAATTTAATAGTTGATTTTGTATAATGTTTTCCTTTATGATTATCTTAACATTAAATTGAACTTTATGATGCAATTTGCATTGTATAATTGAAAGACAAATCTAAATTAGAGTCATGAGGATCAGGAGATCTTTACGAGTGTTTTGATTAATTTTTGGCTGAGAGTCTATTGATTGGAGAAGGAGTAAAATCATCTTGCAGTTTGTTTCTATCAAAAGCTCTATGATTATGAGTTTTCTAATTCTACCTCAAATCTAAAGTTGCATCTTAATTAATGGACTCTTTCATTTCTCTGATGAAATTGATTTTTGGAACTGTATCAATTAATGTCATTTAATCAACACATTAGATTTAGATATCCTATTACCTTTGTTAAAGAGCCTTTTAAAACTAATTTTAATCATTTTAAGGTTATTTATCAATGTGGTGATGTTATTATTATTTTTACTCTTGTTTCCTATGTCTTCTAATTTCTTTTTTAAAATTGCATTTATTTAGTGATAATTGGTTCATTTTTTGATTTAAGTCTTGAACATCTGATTCATTTAATTATTTATCTTAAATTCTCATTCTAATATCATCTTTAAAATGAGCTTTTAGATTATAAGCAGAAATAGAATGTCCCACTTCATCATCAAAGATATCCGAATCATGACTTAATGATTCTATCATTATTATAATAAATAATATCATTTTAATTCCTATTTTAGTAGTCAAGTAATATATATTTTGGAAAGTTTATATTGTATCATATTCTAAAATTAGGTATATTCTAATAGTGAAAACTGAAATCCTAAAGATGTGTTGAAAAGATAAGAAAATAAAAAGTAACAGTAAGATGAATGCATTTATGATGAATAAATAATTAGATGTAATTGGTATTTTGAATATTAACAATCATACAAATAGATATTTACAAAATTATTCATAAAATTCTATTAAAACATCAGCCAAATTTAGGTTATGGAACAGATACGATATTGTCTTCATCTTTAAATGAAAAAATTTGATCAATATTTGTTTTACTTAAAGATGGTGAACAGGGATAGTTAGATGAACTAATTTAAGTACTAGTACTTTATGTAAGAGAACTTTTCTAACTATCAGCCAAACAATTTTTAACAGATCCACTTGAATAGAATAATAAAATATTACTTAACATCAATAATTTTAATTGCAAGGTTTTTGGATAAGATTTTATTTTTCAATTGTTAATTTTCATATTTATTGAAAATGTTGTAAAATTTCATTTATTTTTTAATCCATTTACTCATAAAGAGTTATTATATAGTTGGTCTTTATGAAGAATCCTTAGTCAATAAAGCTAAAATTAAAATTTATAAGTCTTCATCAATTAATTTGTTTACAATAATTTCATTAGTTATAATTTATGAAATCAATTCAGATTATGATTATGCTCTAAAAGGATAATTAGTATGAACTAAGATCTATAATAGAATGATTAAAATATTTTACATAAATTAAAACACCTAAAGACCAAGAATCAACTTTTGAATCATGTTTTTATTTGAGTACTACTTCAGGTGGCATATACTCAGTAGTTCCACAAATTACTGGTTCAATTTAATCTGTATATGCAGCCCATCCAAAGTCTCCTAATTTGTATATTCCTTCTTCATTTATAAAGATATTTTCCAACTATAATAAAAAGATTACTCAACATTATAATACCTTTAAATCTCTATGAATTATATTATTTGAATGTAAACAATCAAGAGCATTTAATAAGGAATGGGTTATATTGAAAATTTCCTTCTCTTAATAAGGTAGGATAGGTTGTTTCAAAGTTCCTCTAGAACAAAACTCAGAAATGATATAAATATTATTATTATCTTCAAAAGAGTTAACTACCTTTACAATATTCTTATGAGTAATCATTTACTATATCTAAATTTCTTATCGGATCATTTTTTCTGCATTATATTTTTATAGCAGTGCCTTTGAAATCTAGAAATATAGATATAACTAACTATTTTGCAAGCATAATTCTTATTCAATGATAGATCAATCACTTAGTAAACAGTACCAAATGAACCACTACCAAGCTCATTTTTAATTTAGTATTAGATGCCATTATTTGCTACTAAAATACGATTCATTAAATAATTTATATTTTATAAAGAATCTAATTAAATTTATAAGTTTCCTTTGAATAGAGAATACCAAGTAAAATTAAATTATCATTTTTTCCTTTTATAAACTAGCCCTTAAAACTCATATGGTCTCTATTCCAATTATATTGGTTTCTTTGTACCAAAAAATGGAGTAACAAAAGATTCACCAAATTTAACTCCATTAGATCCATTTATTTTGCCTTCAATTTTCTCAAATTCTCATATAAAATGTTGTTAATTTACATAATTAATGCTTTTTCAATTTTGGTAATTTAGTTTAACATCCTTTCTAATTTTCCTTATTTACATAACAATTTTTAGGTGGTTCAGAAAATAATTACTGTTAAATTTGAAAATTTCCAATTGGAATTGATTCTGCTTCAATCAAATCCATCTCAGATGATTAAAGTAAGTCCATCTAACTTTGTATCTTCTTAAAGGCTAATTAATTAAGTATTATATACAGTTGATATAATTCTGCTTCTTCTTTTTTAACAATTTCTAGGTTCCGTGCTCTATCTTATTTAATTTACATCTACAGTTTCATAAGTAGTAGAATCGGTTTATATTGAATTATATTATATTGATCGTTTTGGTTTCATATAATTATTTCCATTATTTGTTCCTTTATTCTAACATTAAGATTAAGTCTATCTGATTTCTCGAGATTTTGAGATTGTTTGAAATTATCGATTAAATCGATATTCTATTGTGGATTTTAAACGAGAATCATGAACTCCCTTTTAGAAATTAATCATAATATTAATAAATTATAACTAATTAGATAATGCATTTCGGTTTCATTGTATTATTTTTTTAGATTGAAGAATAAAGAAAGAATTAAAATTCCGAAATGTACAGATGATTGCTCAATATATATCATGATTCATATTACTATTAATCGAAACACTTTGTTAAGCTTGTATTAATAATATTGTGAGATTATTGTTAATTAATTTTTATTGTTTGCATTCTTCAGCAAGTTCATTTATCAAATTTTAATTTTGTTTTTCTTTATTTTCAATATCTATTCTCACTTTCTCTAATCTCTTATTTTGTTTTAAAAAAGCTTACTTAAGTAATTTATTTTCATCAAGTAATTTTTAAGTCTAAAGTATAAATAATGTAAATACATTTGATTAAAACTTTTCGCCTAATTTCTATTCAAAATCATCAAAACAGAGTTGAATAACCTACTGTGCTATTGAAATATTTTAGGATTAATAGAGTCTTTTTAATAATTCTTCTTTTAAACATATTTTATAGTTATCAAACTACTTTAATAATTTAAATTCTACATCTGCATTATCAATGTCAATTTTTTATGGGATTGCCATTTTTTACCCTAGAATTTCAATTACCATCTCAAGGTTATTATCAAAATCTTCAAGTAATCTAGTAATTTCAGATTATTGTATTTAAGGGTATTTCTCTTAAATAATTGCCAAATTCTACCTAAAAATTTAATTAAACTATTTATACTATGTTAATCTTCTTCGCGCTTAACTCAAAGTTTCTAGATTTCGATCTTAATTTATCCGTCTTCTTAAAGCAAAAGTTGGATTCATAGACTGAATATAAATTTTTAGAATTACTTCATTAGGTTCATTTTCAAAATATTTTCTTTTGCCAACTAACATATATAATTATAATATTAATATTAATAATTTGATTTTAAATATTATGTAAGTCTCACTAAAATACAGATCCTAAAATTAAAATTAATTATGTAATTTCCAAAAACTCATCTTAATGACTTTATTTCATCAGATTATGATAAAACATGTGAATTAGATGATTATACACTTTTTAACAATGTCTGTTATAAGTCTTCTTAGGCACAAGTTCCAACTGAAATCTAAGTTTAAACTAGAAATTCAGATTTATGTTAATCTTAAGATTAATATTTACAAGCGACTAGAGAGAGTATAGAATTAGAAATAAATTTCATATAGTTATAGATCAATTAAGTCATATCATTAAGATACTGAAAACTGTTAAATGTGAATCTGAAGCTCAATAAAGAATTTTCAACAATGCGAACAGATAATTCTTAATTCTTTTAAAAGGCTTATAAATAGTTAATGAACTTTTATCTAATTGTAAAGAACAAGAAAGTAAAATCCTCTTGGAACTTAAACAAAGTATTAATTTATGTTCATTTAGATTATGTTTAAGAGAGATCAATTAAAGCAATAAAAGCTGATGATGTGAATATCAGAATGTTATAGGTGCCATACAATTATTTATAGACAGACTTTTTACCAAAGATGTAATAAAATTTAAAATCACATGAATAACATATGTTTGCTTCTAAAAGTTTAACAGATGAAATAAAGGTATTTGGAACTGAAATTCTTATGTTAAACTTAATTATGCCTTCTGCTATTGATACAGATAAAAATGATATCATGTCTTTAAATAGTACACATCCTGTTTGGAAGAAACTTGAATGTATTACAACTAGAAAAGTATGATTATTATTATATATATAAATAAGTCTTTAGGAGACCCAGAATAAATTAGACAATCTTTTGATAAATTTGTATAATCAGTTATGGTTGGACATGCATTAGTTAATGATTGTAAAAAGAATACAAGCAAATGGGGTAAAATAGTATCTGTAAGTTTGAATTCAATGTATTATTTCTTCTCAAGATCAGCTGCAGAAAAAGGAATGAAAGATCATATGAGTTAATTAAAAGCTGATACTGCCTATTAAGCAATGAATTTTATTGAACTACCAGGTGTTAAACATTTGATTAATTTGGGATTACCTAAAATTGCAACAAATTTAAAATTTTACATTTTACCAGTTGTTTTACCACTTACAATTTAAGAAGCTAATAATTAGATTCGACAAGGAGTTTATGATCAAATATCAAATCAACCAATTGAGTATGTAAATTAAGAAATTCACAGAGATGATAAATTTTTATTTATTAAAAATTAAGCTAGAATTCGAATCAGATTATTGTACAATTAGCATGTTGTGGAATAAGATAATATATTTAGTTTTTTAAAATCCTTTTTTGTTTAAAAAAATAATGCTTTTGAAGATAAGATTATAATTCATATTCATGGAGGTGGTTTTATTTCATAATCATCATCAAGTCACTAATGTTACACAAGGGAATGGTCAATCAATTTAAATGTTCCAATCTTTTCTATAGATTACAGTTTAGCTCCATAATATCCTTATCCAATACCTTTAGATGACTGTTGGTAAGCATATAATTGGATTTTAAATTATTCTGAAAAAATCTTTGGAATCATTCCCAATAAAATTATTGTTACTGGTGATAGTGCTGGTGGTAATTTAGCTACTGCTTTAGTTGGATTAACTATTAAGTATAAATAGTAAATTCCTAATGGATTAATTTTAAATTATCCTGCTGTTGATATTAGATTCTAATATACTCCTAGTTATTTAAAATCCATTAATGATAAAATTCTTAGTCATACCATTTTAGGAATTTGTATTGAATCTTATTCAGCTCATCCTGATTCTTAATTGGGACTTGATCCATTCATGAGTCCATTATTATTATCATATGATATTTTAAAATATTTCCCACCTACTAGGTTATTTTGTGGAGATTAAGATCCTTTATATGATTAAGTTTTTAGACTTGCTCAAAGATTATAGTAACATTATTAATTAATCATTTAGAGTAGTACAGAAAGATGTAAAAATTACTATCTATGAGAATTTATCTCATGGTTATTTAAATTATAATACAATTAAAGGAATGTCAGAAATTAAATAATGTATATTAGATAATTAAGATGCATTTCTTGAATTATTAAATTGAATTATATCTGTTTACAAATCATTATATATTATTATTTTCATTCTCAACCTTATCTTATTCATTATTATTTTCATTCTCAACCTTATCTTATTCATTATTATTCTATTACTATTAATATACCCCTTATTATTCTAATTTTTATTTCTTTAATTTTTTCCCTTATTCAATCATCTCTTACTTCTTTCTCTCTTTTTCTTACTTTTGTTTTTCTGGATCCAAAAATTTCTCACCTTCCACTTTCTATTCCTAAAATCCTGCCCACTCTATTATTCAATTTATTAAATATTAACATGCAAAATGGTGAAATATTATTCCAGAAGCTACTCCAACATTTAGACTAGCAGTCTTTTAAGTGTATTAAGGAATGTATACAAATTAATCACAAATAGCTTTATGCTCAGGAATCAATCCTGTACCCTACATTATTATTATTTAGATATATTAACTTCATTTCCAAGAAAGAAGACTGTATGACCCTTAAATGGATTCTTAATAATATTTTAAGAACCTTCACCAATTTCAACACCACAAACATAAATATTATTTTGAACAAAATACTCTTTAGCTTCCTTTAAATTATTAAAAAGATGAAAATTCATTTGATCGAAGGTACCATGATTACCAAAAAATGAAAATCCTTCAGCAATCTAAAACTTCTTTTTGTTTTATCCTTGTTTTCCAATCATAAAAACTTTAGTTAAATTGAATGCAGCAGCATTTCTATTGAAAATATTTGAAAATTTTACCTAATAATAGTGCCTATGTTTTTTGGTTTTGCTATATTGTGAAGAAATAGATATCCTTCAAATTACTATTGCATAATTTTATATTTATTTTGTAATAATTTATATTATTCAAAATGCTGAATCATCTTTTAAGATCTGCTTTTTAATGTCTTGCAATGATTTCAAATTATCAAATACTCTGTCTTCAAAGATGGCTGTGAATTCATGCTCAATTGATGTGATCAAAGCAATTCTTTCAAGACTATCTAAACCTAGATCTTTCATTAAATCTCCTTCCCAATTGACTGATTTGATATCTATTTTCTCGAAGGATTTCAAGACTTTAAGGAATCTTACATCTACCTAAATAATGTTTGATGAAATGTATTTACTTCATTTTCTTCCATAAAGAGTCCTGCTTCTTCAGTTGGAGATGGCAATGGTTTAGAAGATGTCTTAATACTATCAATACTTGTTCTGTCAAACTTCTTAAATTAATCTTGAGTATCAAAGCTTATTTATAGATGGAATAATAATACATGTGATTAATGTAGAATTATGGTCTAATAAATAGGGACCTTGATAATAATTTTCTAATCATTATAATAATTATATTTTTATTGATATTGCAATATAATTTTTCAGAAATGAGCAGCATTACTACTATCGCTTGTGAGTTCTGCTCTTAATTATTTCAATCTTGCTTCCTTCTTGGCAAGGGCAAAATCAAAGATTGAAAAATTATACTTTTCAGCTAAATCTTACAAGACTTGATTTCTTTATACAAAAAGTGGTTCGAATAAGATTTTTGATAAATTGTAAGAAAAAGCGGCTGAGACCAAACCTAGAAGTTAGACATGAATTGATTACCAACTCCTAAGACTATCATTCCATTTAAGATAGGTCTGTTTGTAATTCTTGAAGTAATCATTTGTTGTTCTCTTAATGTTGCTAAAGCCAAGAATATACCACCAAAAGAGAATATGCCAGATCTCATATCTACATCAATAGTTTATTCTTTGACAAATTTCTTATGATCTTCTTAAGTAATTTTTTCTGGTGTTTGACTAGCAATAAAATAGAAGATGAGTCTTCTTCTGTCTTATGGTCCAGCTAAAATAACAGGATAAATTTACCAAGCATGATATTGTCATGATTGATGTAATAGCCATTTGTGGTTTTATGTAGTTAAGGTGATACTAGCCAGCTCAAACTCATTTTTGGATATTTAATTAAATAATTATATATATATGCAATATCAAATTTATTAGCATAGGAAACTTTGTAGTTTATAACAATCTTTAATTTTAGTTTAGGTCAAGTCAACTGGGATGGAAATAAATCTACCCATTAGATGTTCACCCTAACAATAGTATTTATTATTACAATTTGAATAAGATCATCAGTTTCAACATCTTCAGAGAAATGAGCACCTATATTTGGATATTAACAAGTCCATAAAAATCCTCCATAAACTCCTGCTACAACCTATAATACAGTTGGACCAAACATTCCTTTATAAATATTAGAACAATCAATTTCATCCATAATACTACCAGTCCACCAAGCTCTATTATTTTTCATAATTAAGAGTGCTCCAACCTTATCCCAACCTTTTAATGATGTATGATTCATTGGATGAATAACTTCCATTTTTGGATGAGTATTATCTATAGTGGCATCACTAGGTAAATTCCTAATGAACTCTTTAGCTAATGGATTATAATCATAAACATAATATTATGAAGGCGAGTATCCTGTCTATGGATCACTTAAATAATCTTAAATTGAATAAGCTTCTCCATGTGGAATCAAAACACCTCAAATTTTAACTCTTATAATAATACCTGTAATATCTTCATTTGGTACCCAACTCTTTGCCCATATATTTACTGATGGTATTTTTGATACTATTGTTCTACCATTTCTTATTGTATAGCAATTTCCAATATGTGTATCTTCATGTGATCCTCTTGCCACTTATATAGGAACTAAGCCTTCAGTTAGAAATCCTCTACAAGACCATGTATTATAGAACTTTGTTTTCACATCTTTAGGAATCTCAGCCATTAATTAATTGTCAGTTTCTGAACAGTGAATTGTATGTACTCCTAGTACTTATGCTATTTTTGAATGATTTTTCTCTTTCAAATATTTTCTTAAATCACCTAAATCATAATCTTTATTAGGATTTTATATATAATGCTTAGCACAATCCTCCAACCCTCTTTTTACACAATGTGATACAACTCCAGGATTAAATCCAGTTTCTAATAATGCAGTGGGACCCTTTATTTTATAATATTATTTTACTTTTTACCAAAATGGAGATTTTTTGGCATTGTCCTTAATATATCCTAATGTCAATTTATATGCCTCCTCTGCATTTTCAGGACATGAATTAGCATCTTCACTATCTTCCCATACCTCTAAAGCTGTATTCAAATATCGAACTCCTTTTTAAGCACAAAGAGCCCAAATGTCTGAAAATTCAATATTAGTTGACAAATCAACAAGTGTATCTCCTTCCTTTAGTCTAAAATGAATGTTTATTATTAATTTATACCTCATTACATCAAGAGTTTGTGCTAGGTTATCTCGAGTTCGTTTTTATATTATAGTTTTAAATCTTCTCTCATTTGGAAAAAAGGCGTCGTACTTATCAAGAGCTACAATTTTAGCTTCTAAACAAAATTTATAAAGAACTTTACTTGGATGTTACTTTAGTAATACTTCTGTAAAAGCTTTCCCAATTGCTCCATATCCTAATACTCCTATCGTATTGGGAAGGTTAACTTTGCTAAATTGATAGAAGCCACGATTGATTAGTTACATACAAGGTATTAGAATTGTTTTATAAATGAATGTTATTTAATATTGCTAAAAATCTTTAAATTTTGCAGCCTTTATACTTCAAAACAATGTAATTAAGATATTTTGAGGAATATTTATAATTTATCAAAATTTATAATACGCATCATTAAGAACAATATTATAATTTATGTCTAAAAATCATTCAGCTATTAAACATAATTTATAATTAATAATATTGATTTTTCAATTATTAATCTGTTGAAACTTATATTCTCAAGCTGATTTTTGATGTAATTATTTTGTCATTTATTTTTGAATAATTTGTAATTAAAACACAGAAATCTTTATATTTTAATTACCCTTCAGAGTTAAACAGTAAAATTATAAAAAATATAATTACAAAAACTAATGTTAACATTTAAATATAGTCATATTAATACAATAAATGAATATGTAATTTTTTGATAGAATAGGAATAGTGCTTATAGTAGTGAGAAATAAAAATAATGAATATTTAGCAGTTTTGGAAACAAAAAATAGAGGATGGTGGTTACCTGGTGGAAGAGTTGATCCAGGAGAATCATTTGAAAAAGCAGCTTTAAGAGAAACATTAGAAGAAGCAGGAATTAATATAATTTTGAAAGGAGTGTTAAGAGTTGAATAAGACATAGATTAATTTAATAGTTTTATGAGGATCAAAATAGTTTATTATGCAGAACCAATTGATTAAAATTAAGTTCCTAAAATTATTTCAGATAAAGGTATTATTGTGTAAGTGATTGAATTTAAATAGAATCAGAAATGGCTAAATGGATAAATTTCGAAAAGCTACCTGAATTGGGAAAAACTAAACAAGGTTGGAGAGGATTAGAATTATTATAATGGGCTAATTATATTGAAAATGGAGGGAATATAATGCCATTATGTACTGTAAGTAAAGAAGGAGCAAATGTAGAAATGGCTAAACCTTTTACTCTTAAAGAAATTAAACAAAATTGAAATAAATTCATAATGTAAAATTAAAGTCTAAATCAATAATTTATTACAATTCCTTTTCTTCTATTATTCTCAATTATTTATCAAGAGTTGTTGGATTATAGAATTCTAATGAAGCAGGTGTGTATACAATCTTAAACTCAGCCTCAATAGTTTGATTCAATAAAAAACCATTCTCTGAACACGCTTATCCTTATTATCCTGCTATAACATCATACTATTCAGGAATGTTTACTTTTACTGAAGCTCTAGTAGCAGACAAGGTGATAATATCAACATAATTTTTAATAAAGCTTTGAATTGGATTTTTAAAGCAAAAACTAGCTAGACACTCCAAATCAGCAATTGAAAAATGATATTAACCAATTTGTTTAATATTATTAGATACAACAATTGATGGTGGAATAAAAGCTATTTAGTAATAGGATTCATCGTGATAGACAATTTTCTTAATTATTTTCTCTTTTTTAGTTAATTTTCCTGGTTGAATTGAAACTGGAAATTTTTTTTAAGGGATTACAAAATTAGACAATTCATCAATTTCAGACATCTAAATAATAAAATTTAATACATAGTTATCAATTTCTTAAAAATTAGATTGAAGTAATTAAGACATTTTCAAATTTGTTAAAGGGATAGTTGCGTGTTTATTAATATCATCACAATAGATGATTAATTTAGGCATTACACAAGTAAATCTCCTTTACTCCAAAACGAATTCAATATCCTTTGGTTTTTGTATTTCGTCAATAAATTCTGATCCACTAATTGCATATACATTCAATTAAATCTTTTTATTTTGATATGTCATATCTAATTAGTTTAAACTAGTTACTTTCAATCAAATAATTAGTTAAATCTTTAACTAGTAACAGTTTCTTAGTTTGATTCCAACTTAAAGTAAGTGGATGGTGTTCCTTTTTAACCTTTCTTTTCCTTAGAATCATAGATCTATACTTATTATTATCTATTATTTACGTTAATTTTACAATTATTACATTATTTCCTTTATTAAATGTTTTGTGTATCTCTCCTAAAGGTTATACATCATCATTTATTATTTGTAATAGTTATCTCTTATATTTCAATTCTTTTTCCCTCTCAGTTATAGCTTCTGGATCTTATCTTTATCTTGAGTCAATTTCGATTAATTTGTATACTTAAGGTTTCTTTATTTATTGTTATTATTAATTTGTTTGAGCTATCTTGGTTTTTTAAGTTGTGCCATTGTGTTATGATCTTCCGAATTTCTGCAGTTATATTTATTTGTTACTTTCATGATACCCTCTAATATAAATATCTAATTTATACTAATCACAAAGTACTCCAAAATTTCTAGGTATAAACTTTTAATAATGAACTTCCACTTATGGCTTATTAGTAAATTCAAAATTAGGTTTAGATGTTTTCGCACTCAAATTTCTTAATTGTGTTGATGTCATCAATTTAGCTGTTTTAGGTCTCATTTAAACATCCAGATATTCACGAACAAATGTCTCAGATGTTTATGGTCTCATTATTTATTTTTATAAAATAAAATATGATGTTAATTACTACTAAATTAAATTAATCTTCTAATAATAATAATAACAAATATTAAATTTATCATTTTTCATAATTGAGTAATTATTTATTTAATAAATCAACATTTAGTTCTTCTATTGATTTAATCATTACTTCCTACTATGTTAAACTATTTTAAATATAAATCCAATTTATAAAGAGAATAAGTCAAATTGCATCTTTAGTTCCATTTCTACAATAACCTTCTATAAATTCATCATTTTCTTCAGCTCCTAAATTCACTAAATATCTTAAAGAAAATATTTATTTTAATTTTGGAGTATTTAATTTATAACTTTCTTCTCCTTATGTTTTTTATAAGAGTAAATCAATTAATTTACAATCCTACTTATAAGACTGATGTTGTTTTTTATCCTTATCTTATCCATCATTAAAAAAATTGAATTCAATACTTTTTGAATCTTTTATAGCAAATTCCTCTTCAAATACATTAACTATTGCTCTACCTACATCTATTGCTCCTGTTACAATACCTTTCATTGTTGAAATCAATTTATTTGAATTCTTTGCTCTTTTTAATGCTTCTTCCCTTTAAAAATTCATCAAATAAAACAAAATATAATTATTCTTATCATATTCTAAAAATGTTATCAAAGGTTATAATATTTCACTATATATATATTTTCTATTTATCAAATTAATAACATCAAATTATATCAAAGTTTTTTGCTAATTTTATTATATCTAATTGTAATTAAGGCTTCTGACTTTTTTTTCTTATATGCTTAAGACTCTTTTTTTAACAATTACTGTTTATAATAACTTATTTTAAATTATTTTAATAATCATAAATTTAAGCCATTACATCAATATCTTTACTATAATAAAACTTTGCTACTTTCTCTTATACATATTCTTCTTTTTAATAATTGTCTTTCCAAATACATATCAATAATTGATATATCATTTTTATAACTTCAAATTTTTCTCCAATGTATGATTATAATTATTTTTTATCATTATCTGATTGAATTCTTTAAGCAACTTGTACAAAATCTGTCATTTACTTAAAAAGCTGCAGAATGTAATTTTTAAACTGTTGATCTAGGTACTTGTATCCATAAATCCATAACCTTTTCTTTTTTCTTATCAAATCTAAATATTTTTTATCTCTCCTTCATTACTGATATTACATAAGATTACTATTAAAATATTTATAAAATATTATTCTTCCAGAACATTTTATCTATTTAAACTACTAATTAGAAATTAATTAGAACAAAATCGTGTTAAATCTTATAATACTTTTTTTAATGATGTAATTTTTTTAGAAAATTTAATATTTTTATCTTAATAGATCTTTTTATAATCTTTTGTTGCCAAATCTGTTAAAATAGATAAAGTTTTTTTCATAATAGGAAAATAAGAAACCAAAAAAGATGTTTCCTAAATTTCATTTAAATTAGCTTTATAAAATTTAAGAACATCATAATTTTTACAATTATCTTTTAATCTCAACATAACTATAGAGGAATCAGAATCAGAGAATTATAATAAAGAATTATCATTTTATTTATCTTCTAAATTAAAACATGAATCTGTATCAATATCTGTATCTTATTCTTTTTCAACAGCTACATATTTTCCTAAAGAGAAATGTCGTAATCTAAATATTTAATCCCATTCTACAGGACCTCCTTTCATATTTAAACTTTCTATATACCTTTTCTATTAAAGTGATATATATATCATCTCATCAGACATATTTTTAGCAGTTACTAATATAGCATTAAGTTCAATATGATGTAACCAAATTACATCTCCAAATAGATTTTATTTTCATCTTCCTCTGTATTTGAAAAAACTGAAATAAGAAAAGGAGATATACAGTAAGAACTAAACAGGTTGAGCCATTGTAAATGTTTAATCTTTAGTTTTTTCTGCTGTTTCAATATTTTACTTATATTCTTAAAATACCTTCTGTTCCATTTCTTTTATTTTATTAAGTTTCATACTTTCTTTTTGATATTTCTCCTTTTGCAATTCTCTCTCCAATTTTAATGCTTAATCAATTTTCGAAGTTTAAGATTAAGGGTATATTTGAAATAGACTTTAGAAGAAAAGTGTTCCTGAAGCTACCTTGTTTGTTTTAATTTCAAAGATTTAAGCTTTAATTTTTATATGACCATCACTTATTTCAAACATGTAATCCATTTCAGATGGTTTCAGTGAAATAATTTAATCATACCTTAATGGTTGAGACATAAATTATTTTTAATATATTAAACAATACTTAAATTATTACTAAAATACTTAAGACTAATAAAATTTAAATATGTATTTATATAATTATTTAAACCTTTAATTATCATAAAGTTCATTAATAATATCTTTGCGATCCATTATTGCTTTAAGATTCATAAGGTTGATTTTATTAACCAGAGAGTACTTTACTCTACAATTAAATATAATAATTTACTCTCATTAAATTCAATCTTGAATTCTCATTAGCTAAAAGAGCACACTTATTTTCTAATTCAATAATTCTTCTATTCTTTTCCTCCAATTATGATTATTCGAATCTGGTATCAACTCTTGTTTATGAAATTTATGAAGATGTTTAGATTCTTGATTTCAATTCAAAGATTTCCCTCTCTTAACTTTTTATCTTTTCATTTAATTAAGTTAATCCATTATCATTGTTTTGAATATTCATATATGAATTTCTTTAAGAACTAGTTCCTTATTAATTTAATTATGAACTCATTTAATTAACCTAATTCACTAACTCTTTCTCCCTCTACTAATAAAGTTTTAGAGTACTCTCTAATTATTATATCTTACCATTATTATTATTCTAAAGATTACTATCTTAACCAATTACACTTCTTTAACCTATTACACTTCCTTATCCTATTACACTTCCTGTAGTTATTCTTTATTCAACTACATAACTACTTCTACCAAGATTTGCTTCATTTTAAAATTATTCTTAAAGCTTTTATTCATCAATATTCTTAACATAAACTTCATACTTTTTTAATTTGTTTTGTAATGCCTTTATTTCTGCCATTAAATTCCTAATCATCTAATCTGCTGATTTATCTCTCTAAAATATAAAATTAAATTAATTACTAAAGAATCAAACTCCTATAATATTAAAGTTTTAATTTTTGATTCTTATTCATTGATTTAATACTTTAATGATTGATTAGCTGATTCTAGTTCTGCAATTAATGTCTAATTTTTTGTATTTTATAAATTCAATTATGTAACTTGATTTTCTAATGCTCTTATTTAATCTACTTTTTAATTTAATTATAATCTTAATTCATTTTTATCCTAATTCAATTTATTAAATATGATATCAAATTCTTATTTTTATTCACTCGTTAAACTTTCATACTTCTCAATTAAAGTTCTCTCTGTTGAGATTCTAGTTTCATCAACTGAATATTTAATTTACTATTTTAATCGAATCACTTATTATTCCCAATCTCTATTAATCTAAAAATATATAATTTTTAATTACACTCTATTCTCGTTTATAATTTTCTATCATTATGGATAAATCTTCTTCTAACTCTTTCATTCTCATTGTATAATTATTTGTTTCTTTTTCAAATCTTACTTGTAATGCTTAAAATTCTTCATTCAACAATTGATACTTTCCTTCTAATTATATATAAGATTAGGTTTTATCATGTACACTACTGGTGATTCTTTGATTGTCTCTATTCAATTTAGATACATCATTCTCATAAATTCGCTTGTAGTCATTAAATTCTTATTGCAATTATTCAAATTGATTTGTAATTAAACACTTTTCCTTATTTAATTAATTAAATTGATTATTCTTTAAATCTAACTATTCTTGTTGATATCTTAATCTATCTGATAATTCTGTAATTTATTTTTAGAATATCAAAACATCACTATCAGTTCTCCTTTAAATTGTTTGTAATTGTTCACCCAATTATTTAACTTTTAATTCAAGTTCTGTGATAGTTTATTATCTATCATTCAATTAAACTTAAAACCAAGATCTTTCTTTTTAAGATAATTCATCTGTTTTAGTTATTTCTTGATTGTATCTCAACTTTTAAGTATTAATCTCATCTTATAATTTTAAATATTATCTTTCAAATCTTTCTTTATCAGAATAAACCTAATTAAGTTCATTTGTCTATTAATCAAATGATCTAGATAATTTGGTTAATTTATCTTCAAGATCTTGTATCCTATTATTCATAGCTTATGTGTCCTTATCATACAATTATTACAAAGAAAAGAATTAATCTAATTATTATCTATTCTTTTTTTCCAACTCATTAATCAATTAAATCTTTTCATTTAATTAAGCTTAAAATTATTATTAATCTCTAATAATTTTAGATTCATTAGTTTTAATTGTAGATTGATAATTATATATATTTGTATTAGATTCTGATTACAATTTATCCAATTAAACTGTTAAGTTTTACTTTTCCTAATTAATTGTATTAACCAGAATAGTTTATTAATCGAATTATTATTGCAATCTTCTATATCTATCTTCAGTATCATTACATTAAACTTTCAATGACGAAATATCTTAATCGTATTTCCTTTATAAATTTTGATATTGATCACTTAATTATTAGAATCTCAATTCCAATTATTGAATATTTACTTATTTTTCATTTACAACCAATGATAACCTTTAACTTTCTTTTGTGTATCTTAATTCTCCTTCAGATATTTCCTATTTATAATTCAATTTAGAACTTCCAATTTGATCTTACAAACCTTAACATTATGATGCCAAACTGAGTTTGTCTCTTTACAATTAATTTATTTGGATAACCTAAGAATCACATTAGATTTATAATTTCTGTAATCTATCTTCTAAATCAAGAATCTATCGTTTGCTAGCCTCATTCTATTAAGACAATCGAATTTAACTAGAAACTTCTAAATCTGATATTTTGGATTGCAATTATCTAATTGTTTAATTCGCACTACCAAAATCAGTTTGAAGTGCTTCTCTCTAGATTGTTGATCTGGCTATTTCTTATTCATAAAGGACAGGTTTTTGTGAAAGGTTTTTTAATTGAAATTCTAAATCATCAATTCGTTTTTGCAATAATCGTTTTTCTTCATCATTCACATTTTAACTCTGTTCTAAAATGTAATTTCGTTATGATGTTTGTAGAGTTTGAAAAGTTGCTGAATGGTAACTTTATTATTGAGGATCTTTGTTCTAATTGCGTGAATATGATGCATATGATTAGGATTCATTATTCATTTCACAAAAGAATATAATAAATTTTATTTTATATGAATAGTGCTATAGTCAGTAATTAGTTGTTAAATAATAATAAGAAAATGAATAATTTATATCAATATTATTTTTTAACTAGTTATGCTAAGAATAGCAACCTAGACAGTTAAATCAATATTGATGCCCATATTCAGGCCAATTAATATGACATGGAAACCTGTACAAGAATTTGGATTAGCAAGATTATTTAAATAAGTCAGAATTGCAGGTTAAGCAAGATCAAAAACGAAATGTGCTTCTTCTAGTTGGAAAAAGAGAATTAGAACACCAAATAAGTTATATAAAATTGGGAATCATAAAGGTTTGATGAAAAGAGTAAAAATTGTTGGGCCTAGGAGAGCTAGAAGATTAAAATTTAAATCACCTGGTTCAAGACATTTGAATAGAAATTGTTCAAAAGCAAATTTAAGAAGAAAGAGACGCATAAGATATATTAGCGATGTTGATATGCCTAGAATGAGAAAATTATTACCTTTAATGAAGAGATAAAAATGCAAAAGAGGATCATGAGTATATAAAAATAAATGAATGGAATAAAAATCAATAATATATTTTATTTCAAATATAATATTTAAATAAATGAATATGATCAGAGGATTCAGAATGCTGACAATGAGACCCCTCTTTACATTTGCTGCAGATAAGACACCAGCAACTACATAAGGCAAATAATAATAAGCCAAACCAATACAAGTTTATAAAGATGGACAATTAATCACTAAGAATTACTTACAATTAAAGAAGTCTTAAGATATTGAGGGATATGTTCTTACCTTGGTTAAAAATTATTATAGAACAACTAATAAAGTAAGTCTTTTTATATATCATGGCAGTCAGCACTTACTTTGGACTCTGAATTAGAACAACATGGTTTAGATAGTTTAGATTCTATTGAATTATCAATGCAAGTATACTATATTTACTATTTTAGATTGAAGAAGATTTAGGCTATGTTATTTCAGCTGAAACTTTACCAGTCTTGAATAAAGTCAGACATTATGTTAATTATATTAAGTAGGTTGAATAATATAAGGTAGAAAATAATGCTGTCCCATTAGCATGATTTACATATATCAAATGCATATTAATAATATAATAAGAATTCCTCTATACTAATGCAGCTATACAAATATTACAAAATTTATATATCAAAATAACATATTTCATCTTGCTGTGTAGAATCCATCCACTCTCAATTTATTTAATTATTATAATGATTTTATACTCTCTCCCTACTAATTTATTTTTGGCAACTTTAATTTTGGTACTTAATTTATTTTATTCACTTTTTAGTGTAGAGAGGCTTTTGATTGAGATGTTAAGTTATCTAACATATCCTTCATCTATTTCTATTTTTTATAAGAGTTTCTTGTCAATCGATCTCTATCACCTTGAAGTCTACTTATTTTTCAAATACTTTACTTATTAAAATTCTCTATTATTTTATTATATGCTATTGATGATTATACATTCTCTATTTTATCCTTCATTCTCTTGTTCTCTTAAAATAACTCTCTCTCCTTTGTTTTCTTTATCACACTATGTAGAGATTTACAAGATCTAGCAGAATCTATTCTACTTTTTTAAGAATCTACTATCTTTTTCTATTCTTACTTTATGATAATATTTGATCCTCCTTTGCATTTGCCACTTTCAATAACATTTTTGTATTTAACTTTACTATCTCTTCATATCTCATTTGTTCTCTTTTCAAATTCGCTTATTTCCAATTTTACTCCAACTATCTAAAAAATGATTATTATTATGATAAAGACTAAAATAAAAAATATAAGTTACTCTTTTCTCCAACATTGGATTACATTTTGCATTCTTTATTTAATTTACATGTTTATTATACTCCAATCTTCTTGACAATAATAATTATAAATTGTTTTCCACATATTTAGGTCCTTTCATTACTCAATTTTTATATATTAATAAACTAATTATATTATTAAAATGCGCAGTCAGTGCAATAAAGATTTACAATTTTCTTTAAACCATTTTATTTTGTTAATTTATAGATGATCATCTACTACTAGAATAATAATTATTAGATACTTTTTCTATTTGATAAACCATACATATGATGAATATACATTATATTTTTTATAAGATATTTCTTTCAATAAGTAAATATATTGATTTTAAAAATTGCGCACCTTTAGATTGAATTAACAAAAAATTTAGATTATATAACAAAATAAGTTCAAAAATTCATTATACAATTTAAAGCATCTTTTTTCTATTGCAAATCTTCATTAAATCATCATAAAAAATAATTATTTTTAATAGAAAAAAGTACAATAATTTATCAGCAAACAATGTGATTACAACTAATCAATTATAAGAACAATTTAGATATAGATCTTATAAATTTTGATTTTAAGCTAAAAGTAAATTAATATTTCATGTAAGAGAATGATTTAAATTATTTTTAGTATGAAAGTTTAAAAACTAAATTGCAACTAATAACTTTTGGATATTTTTATCAAATTTAATAATATTATTTTTTAGGAGATTTAATTAAACTGAAAGATAAACTTATCCTAGCTTTAAAGTGTATTTTTTAATTTAAAAGTTGATTAGGATTAATTAGTAAATATAGAAATCCAATAATATATACATATATTTTAATCAAACTATGTCAATTGTCTTTTTAGATTGGATAGATTTTGATGATTTTGATTAAATCATTGTTGACCTTTTAATTTATTTTGCTTTATATGCAGCAACTCTTCTAGCTTCACTCATTATTATGGATTGTAATCTAATTTTGAAATCTGAATGATAATTCTTAAATAAACTAATCTATTCTTTGTAACTAAGTTCCATGTTTAATTTAAGTAATTCCATTTTATTAAAAGATACAACTAATTTATAAGTTAATTATTAGAAAGGATAATTATCTTATTAGAAAGCTATTTTAAAAATATTTTCTTTGTAACCATTATTTTAACTATTAGGAATAATACATATATTTACATCTTTTTATAGAAATGTTTCTTTTTTATGCTACACTATGATATTCAATCTCATCCTTAAGTTTTAATTATTTGATTACATTTGAATTCAACTTAGAATTTATTTTCAAATTTTAATCTTAAAGATTAAGGAGAGTAGAATTTTTCTAAATTTTTCTCCAAGATTGTTGTTAATCATTTTATTAAAATTTCTTTTTCTTACAATTTTTTGAATGATCTTTGCATTTATCTAATTTTTCTTTTTTTAAATATTATTTCCATCTTTTTTTTACTTATATCAGCAAATTCTTTTTTTATAAATTTTGATTTAATTTATCATAAAATTTCATTATATAAATACTTAATCTTCTTATTATCTAAAACTAATGATATATATCTATATATAAGTTTATCATTTTAAATAATGAAATCAAGATTGATTTAATCTTCATTAATAATGGGTAAGTAAGAGGATTATTAATTTCTAATTTATTAAATTTATTTAAACATTATGAGATGGAATAAGAGAATGCATAGTTCTTAGAGAAAGTTCAGTATTACTTTAGATTAAATTGTAAAAGTGAGTAGAATTAAAAGTTTATTTAATTTTTCGTGAATCTAATTAACTTGGAGTGAGCATTTAGATTAATGTTTATCTATTTCTTTTTCAATAAAATCTCTAATTAAACTTGCTTTTTATAAATATTTCTTCTTTTAATTAGTAATTGAATCTAAATTAAAATTAGATATTTTTTTATAATCTACTAGATGAAATAATAATTACAATACAAGTAGGTTCCATACTTATATAAATAATCTTAAGTTCACTTAATCCAAAAAGAATAGGTCTTTATAATCCATTTAACCTAAACCATTATTAAGATGTAATCCCCAAACAAATTATTAACCAATCATATCTAAAACACCAAAATGTTCCTCTACACAATTACTTTAATAAATGATTTTAATCAGTTTCATAGGTTAAGTAATTTTTAATAATTTAATTTTAAATGGACCTTTTCCCCATTCATAAATATTACCTTTTACATTTAAAGCCACTAGAATACAATTCACAAACAAATAATATTATTCTATTTTTAATTTTTCTACAGCTATCATTTAACTTTTTTTTAATTATTTAAATATAATAATATTAAATTAATATAAATTCAATAAAAAAAGAAACCCTAATTCCATACTCTAACTTCTATTTCCCAAGCTAATACACCAAATCCTATAAAATTTTATTTTATCTACACTATTTGTTTGATATTAAAATAAAAATTCTTGTATCAATAAAAATAATATATTTCTACTTGATTTCTTATTATGATAATTCATTCTTTCCATAATTAACTTAAATTATTGTTGATATTTCATAACAATAAAATTCATATCTCTAATTTATAATCTTACTAAATTCCATTCTTTTCTATCTTTAACATTCTCCTAAATTAAATTTTTATATCCATCATCTGTGATATATTCATCTGATTATGTAATCCTAATTAAACCTCATTTAATCTTCTCAACAATTCACACATTTCACATTTATCTAATATTATAGATATAAAATATTACGATCAATTAAAAACTCCATATTCTATTTACAAATCCTACTTATTATTTCCCTTCTTTGTTCTATTTTATTGAATCATTCGAAAATACATACTCTTTTAAACATACTCTTCTTGTTAAACTAATCTTTATGTACTTATTATTAACCTTCTAAATTCTCAGTCTTAAGATTAGACAATGACTTTCCAAAATATAGTACTGTCTCTTATTTTATTATTTTTACTATGTATCTTACTAACACTATGTTACTAAGTCATTTTATCTTCTAAACTACACTGAGTTATTTAATCACTCTCTTTGATGCTCATAATAAGATGTATATAAATAATCGTTTTAATTTACAATTTTTATAATTAATTGCTAACTTAAATATTATTTTGATTAAAATTGTTAACAAAAATTCAATTTATGATTTTCATAATTTTAGTTATTTTTCATCATTCGCTTTCTATTATCTAATTAAAGCCAAAGTTTTCATTCTAACTATTTATGAGTCTGTTATTGTGTTTTTAGCATATGTAGTCTATTTCTTATAAAAGAATATGTAGGCACTTGTTACTGAGACAACAAATGTAAACATCAATAATACTTTCAGAAAAGTATGATCACCATATCCTAAAATATATTTATATATAGTTATTACTATAGATAGTATCAGAATTGAATTTTCTATTGATCTTAATTTCACTAAACACTTGTCCATCTGTATGACTTTAACTTTATTTCTCCTATTTATATTTACGTAACATCTCTTAATAATCAGCTCTCTTTTAGGCATTTTCTGGCTTATAATATTCTTGTGGATTCTCATGAAAGTAGAATCCAAATATTGATCTAAAACATTCTTCTTCTGATTATGCAGAACTAAATTTAACATAATAACACTACTAGTAATTTTACTTAAATTCTTCTTCTACTTATTCATAAAATTTGCGTTGCTTAAGTTAATTGTAAGCCTAATGTATTTCAGCAAATCTCTCTTTTGCATCACTCTGGTTATTCAAATCAGGATGGTCTCCAATTATTCAAATTTATTACACTTCTTACACATTGCAATATATGCATCCTTTATCTATTGAATTGAAGCATCCTTTTTTACACCTAATATTAGATATGGATCATTTCTAAAAGAAGTGAATCTATAAAATCTTAAGTAGGATAACATTATTTATTATAAAAATAGTCATTAACACTTATAGCATTTAACTTCTATTGTTGACAATAGATTTACTGTAAATATTTCTTTACACTTTGAGCAGTATCTTTATGATGGAATTGTGATATGTGCCTTATGATTAGAAACAGAATCATGACATTCATAGCATGGATATGCCTAAAATATATATGTTAATTAATTTGTTACCTAATTACAACAAGCAAAGATAGGATTAGCCTTTATTAAATCATTATGCATACATTTCATATTAATATAATTACATGTGAAATGATAATTCTACATTTTCTATCCAGATAACCTATTTTCAACTGATTATTAATTCAGAGATGAATAACTTTATGAATATTAATTTCCTCTTTTTCCTTCTAATTTTTTACCTTCACTCTAATAATAATATTGCATTCCATTAGGACTGATTTACCTAGCTTATGTCTATGATTTTAAGTTTTAATTATTAAAAATCTAATTACTAGCATCTTTCAATTAAGGATTATTATTTTAAATTAAATTTTTTAATGACTTTTAATTTGTCAATGTCAACTATTAACACAATTCTTTTTTTAAAGGTGACACTATATCTTTAGAAGATGAACCTGCTATTTATCTAATACTTTTATTTTGATTCTTAGGACTTTCTATTTATTTTTAATTTTCAATCGATATTGAATCTACATATTTAGAAGTATCAGGTTTATTTAATGATTTCTCTTAAGATTAGAAATTCTAAAATAATATCGTTGGTTAAAGTTTCAGAAGCGGTTGCTATGAATCATTAGTTCTTTAAAATGTTGATGCATGTAATGACTCTGATTTATTCGTTGTACAAGTATATTGGGCAATCATATCTTATTTATTTTAATCTTACATTAATATATTTAAACATTCTATTGGAGTTCTTTTACCTGTAGGTGAAACAAAATTAAAATTTTACTATTCAATTTAAGTAATAACTTCTCTTAATTTTTCTTCTAAATCTTCATATACCCATTTCCATTAAGCTTTTAAAGTACTGGAAATTTTGGCACTTTGTTCTTAAAAATTTGTCAGTTTATTTATTATATTTTCAATATGATTAGTTCCAATCAATAATAAACTATGATCCATTTCTGCAGGTGTCATTTCATAAAGATTCTTATGTGCATATTCCTTAATTTTTTAGAGTATCTACTTCTCATCATTATATATTTGAATGAATTAAACATTAGATGTTTCTGCATAAGTTGATATTTCTTAAACATATTTATCTCTAATTATCTTTAGTTAATGTTTTAATATTTCAAATATTGTATTAAAATCTCTATCTATCTATTCTACAATATCAATCATCTTACACTTTTTATATGTTTCTTCTAGCTTTGCTACCTACATTATTAAATTAATATCATACTTGAAATACATATTACTTATAATTGCATTCAAATGCTTCACAATATTATTCAACTGTTATTTTATTCGACACATGTTCATCATGTTCATCAATTATACAATGTGCACATCCTAATCTACGATCAGCTTAACAATCTTTTTCCTTTCATTATTAATTTCTCATATTTACTATACAAACATATTGAATTCTTCCCTTTTCATGTGTTTTCTTCCAACAAACTGGATCGAACTTAAGTCCTAATTTATTAACGACTAATCGTTCATTCGGTATTCCTGGCTTTTTAAATTAAACTTAAAGACTATCATCTAGAATTTTCATTACTATAACTATACTTAATTTTGTTTTTGATCTTCCATGTTACCTTGGAGTAATTTTACATTCAGACATTAATAGATTAATTTATTATATAATGTGGTATGTTAATCACTCTATTTTTATTACATATAATTATTATTTTCTACTTTTTAACTACTACTCATGTTTATTAAAAAGTATTAGAACAATTATATTAATAATTATATTATGTTTTAAATTATTCTCACCATTTTTACTTTTATTTTGTTTTAAACTTTCAAATCAAAAACTTGCTCTTATTAAGATGAAATTCAAGAAGTATTCATAAATTTATCAGATTAAGAAATAGTTTTTATTCCTTTTAAGGATTATTTTTAACCTCCTTATTTATTATCTTTTTGTAATCTCAACTCAAAAAATGATGTTAAATTAGTTGATAGTATTGAACTTTTCGAGTAATATGACCTAAAGTAAAAGGATTTTAAAATAAATTAAGTCAAACAATACAAAACATCAAGAAATAGAATGCCATAATAAAATTATTTAGTTATTGTCACATATTCTCTAGTATTAGTGGGTAAATTTATTTGGGGTTAGAACCCTGAATTTTCAGTTATTTTTAATCATCTTAAATAAAAGTTCAATAGTGTTAACTTAATAGATAATATAGTATTCCTAAATTTTGAGACCTCATCTGATATTATAGACATTTCTAAATAATTACCTATTTCCTTAAAAACTTTTAACAATTTAGGATGTAAATATTCTGAAAATTCAGATTAATTGAACGATAGTATTTTTATGACTGATATAAGTAATATATACATTCATTAAAATATTTAAAATCAGGATATATGTTAAGCTAAAAAACTTCAGCTTGAATGTTCTATTGACAATACTTAATAAAATCCAATTAAGAAATAAATATACAATTTGAAAACTTATCCAGATAATCTTTTAATTTTTAATAGTTAATTAATTTTAGCCACAATTGATCTAAATTAAGAAATAATGATTTGCCAAGAATAATAATATGCAATCTTAGCTTATGATTATGATTAGATTAAAAAGATATTTGTTGTTGTATCAAATTCATAACTATAGTATGATGGTTATACTTATGAATTAATGTTTCAAGAAGAAAATTTAATAATTTAAGTATTTCTTACTAAAAGTTTTATTATTTTTCGAAATAAATATTAAATTTCTCTCTTTACGAAAAAGCTTAATCTTATATAGACTAAATATTTTGAGTATGAATTTGAAATTTTGGTTAATTAGCTTTTAGATTAATTTATATTGATAAGCTTAACTCATTTTAATAGATATTTACTTTATGAAAATCCATTTATTCAATTTAATTGGGAGAAAATTCTAACTACCAGTTTTTACTTATAAATTGAAAATTAATTAACTGAATAAAGTGTAGTTTTTCTTGCTGAATCTCATTACTCTCTAAATAATGGAAATGTAGATTTGAATAAAATTAAATAAGTTTCCACTCTTAAAAATGGTAATATAATTAATTTTGAAGAATGCAATTATGAATAAATTAAGATAGATCCAAAATATTTTATTTAATTTAATCGTATCTTAAAAGCTTTTAGTCATCAAATAAGAATATTTGATTTTTCTGGATTTAAATTTTTATATGCATATTCTAAATCTTTTATCTATCTTGGATTGATTTAAAATGGTAATTTACAAAATTTTAGATAATACACAATTTAGGATGAAATCATTACTAAATAAAATTGTGCTTATTAAAATTAATAAATGAAGATTAATTAAGTTCATTGTTATAATAATCGATGTTATATTTATTATGACATCATGCAGAATTACAATTAGGATGAAATTTTGGTTATTGGATAAAATCAAATTTAAAAAGTTGTATCAGATAATAATCATTTTTATGTATTAGTATCTAAATAAGTTCTTTTTTTCAATTTATAAAAAATTAATTAACGCAAATTAGAAAATTTAGATTTTAAAACAAATGTTAAAGATATTTATGCATCACCAAAAAAAGAAGATTTTTTATTTGTTTTAAATGAGGAAGGTATTTTATCTTTATATAGTATTTCCTTACCATTTTAGGATTGGTTATCTAGTTTCAAAGTAGGTCAAGACTAAATAGAAGATTTTATTATTTTTGAAGAATATTTTCTTATATTTAGCAATTCAAGTAATTCAATTGTATGTAAGGTTTACAATTATTAAAATGAATTAAGAATTTTTGAATAGAGAACATTACCATTATACTTCTTTAATGAAATATTTTTAGATGATTTATAAATTGATTATGATTAAAATTTATTGTTTGTGAAAGGTTAAATAAAATAATCTAATCAATATGCTATAGTAACATATAAAATTGATTCTAGAATTGAATTTGCTTTTTAATTTATAGCAAAAGTCATAGATTATTCAGGTTTCTTATTGCCAATATCTAACTAAATGATTTTAAGATTTTAAACCAAATTTAATTTCACTTCTATCTATTATAATGGTGATAAACATAAAATATGTTTAATAACTAATTTTCATGAAAATGAAGATTCTTTTATGGATGATGAAGATTCTTCTTCTGATATGGAAAGTGATTTTGATGATACTCTATCTTTAGACGAAAGTTATCAATTTTCTCCTGGTTCATTCATTAGTATATCATCTGCTGGAGAACTTCTTATTTTAGGATTACAATCAGTCTATAGTAAAAAAAGAAGACAAGTAGATGCTAATGATTTTTAATTAATTTGATTAAGGTTAGCATAGATCTATTATTATAATTTTTTATTGAGGATTTAATTATTAAATTTAATAAAAGAAATAATACATAATTTCTTATATTTATTGTTATTCCTATAAAAAAGATTCCAAAGCTTTCTAAGCAATATTATTTTCATAAAATTCTTACTAAAATTAATATGATTATTTGAGTATAATCTTTATTCTATTTTATATAAACAATTACTCATTCATTGTATGAGTAAATATGAAAATTATTCATTAAGATGATTGTTTGCAAGTAACACCTACCTGTTGTGATGTTAAAAATACAATTTTGTATCTATGTAAACTTAATTTTCATCTTAAACTACCATAATTGATTTTATCACCAATATCTATAAATAATTGATTGATAAATGAAATATCTTGATATTTAAAATAAGTATAAAATTTTAAATAGTTTATTAAAAATCTTTAATATTTCATAGAAAATTAATTGATTCCTCTAACCTTTGACTATTATCTTCAATTTATAAATAATCTTATATCTTCTAATCAAGAATTATGATAGGCTGATGTTTCTGATTATTTGATGAACAAATTTATTGAAATTTTTTTAGAGTTGATAAGTTAAGTCAATTACACATTACTAGATGATAAATGTTAATTAAAGAGAAATTAAATAATTGTTTTATTGTAAAACATGAATAAAAAGTGAGCTATTTAGATTAGAATGAATAGTAACTCAAGTTGAGCAAAAATGAATACATATATATTCCAATTATGAAAATAATTATAGTAAAGCTTATTAAAAGTATTGTTATACAAGTTGGTATTGAATATTAAGATTTTTATTCTAAAATGGATTAAAGATTAAAATTATGAATTATTAATAAATTAATTTTATTAGTTTATTAGTTTAAATTTAAAAAGAATATAATTTCTCATTTTTTTTTGATTAACTTTAATTCATATAATATTTTAGAATTGAAATAATGAATAAAAAAGGTATGAGAAAATATTAGAGAATTATTGAATTAAAAAATGTTAATTTTTAGTTATATGAAAAATAATAATATCTGTGTTTATAAATATTTAGGTAAGTAATTATAATATTGTTATTATAAATGAATAATGGTTCAAACAAAAAGAATGCAATATATAAACCAACCTTGCCAAGATTGAAAATAATTCATTAATAGAGATAGATATTAAGTTCCCCTTAGAAAACAAAATTTATAGATGAAAAAAAATTAGAATAAATAGTAGAGAGAAGAAACTTTTAGAAGTAATTGATAGATCTAGTGATACCTATTCATGATGATGCCTAATCAAGTATAATAAATTCAGAGTTCTCAAAGGGTGATTTATTAAAGCATTATAAGTAACTTCCATCTAAACCAACTTTATTATTTGAGAAAGCAATGAAAGGATTGCATCCTCTTCAATAATAAGAGTATAGANTTGATTTTATCACCAATATCTATAAATAATTGATTGATAAATGAAATATCTTGATATTTAAAATAAGTATAAAATTTTAAATAGTTTATTAAAAATCTTTAATATTTCATAGAAAATTAATTGATTCCTCTAACCTTTGACTATTATCTTCAATTTATAAATAATCTTATATCTTCTAATCAAGAATTATGATAGGCTGATGTTTCTGATTATTTGATGAACAAATTTATTGAAATTTTTTTAGAGTTGATAAGTTAAGTCAATTACACATTACTAGATGATAAATGTTAATTAAAGAGAAATTAAATAATTGTTTTATTGTAAAACATGAATAAAAAGTGAGCTATTTAGATTAGAATGAATAGTAACTCAAGTTGAGCAAAAATGAATACATATATATTCCAATTATGAAAATAATTATAGTAAAGCTTATTAAAAGTATTGTTATACAAGTTGGTATTGAATATTAAGATTTTTATTCTAAAATGGATTAAAGATTAAAATTATGAATTATTAATAAATTAATTTTATTAGTTTATTAGTTTAAATTTAAAAAGAATATAATTTCTCATTTTTTTTTGATTAACTTTAATTCATATAATATTTTAGAATTGAAATAATGAATAAAAAAGGTATGAGAAAATATTAGAGAATTATTGAATTAAAAAATGTTAATTTTTAGTTATATGAAAAATAATAATATCTGTGTTTATAAATATTTAGGTAAGTAATTATAATATTGTTATTATAAATGAATAATGGTTCAAACAAAAAGAATGCAATATATAAACCAACCTTGCCAAGATTGAAAATAATTCATTAATAGAGATAGATATTAAGTTCCCCTTAGAAAACAAAATTTATAGATGAAAAAAAATTAGAATAAATAGTAGAGAGAAGAAACTTTTAGAAGTAATTGATAGATCTAGTGATACCTATTCATGATGATGCCTAATCAAGTATAATAAATTCAGAGTTCTCAAAGGGTGATTTATTAAAGCATTATAAGTAACTTCCATCTAAACCAACTTTATTATTTGAGAAAGCAATGAAAGGATTGCATCCTCTTCAATAATAAGAGTATAGAAATAAAGAACTTGAGAAATTAGATAAGAAGGTATAGTAATTAAATGAAAGAAATCCATTACAAGAATCATGGAAATCTCCATTTTTATCATAACCAAGATTATATAAATCATCTGAAGAGGTTGATCTGAGTGCATCTTAAGATATTGATCCTAATGTATAAAATGTAGTAGTATTAAATGAAAATTTAAGAGGATTTGGTTCTAGATTAAGATCATATTTGGATTATGATAAACATACAGTATTTGAAAGATAAAAAGGGAATCCTAAATATTTATATAGAGATAATATGATAAGAATGATAAAGAATAATTCTACAAAAGAATTAGATTTAGTAAAGGAGTGGAACTTTTTAATAAATTATGATAAATTGACATCACATGCTCAACTTTAGAAACCAGAAATAAGAATGTAATAATTTGGAACTATTTCATCAATAAGTCATTATTATAGTATATAAGATTTTCATAAAAAGAAGATGGGTTAAAGTTTAACTTAATAAACTCCGAATTCATAAATATCTCCTTAATTTGTTGTTAAGAATTCAAGACAGAGTAATTCTTCAGAACCAATAGATTTTGGAAAATCAAATTAGGTTTTATTAGATGTATCTGAAGTAGAAAAAGGATAGGATGATGTGTCTATTCATAAAGATACATTTTTAACATATTGTTAAGTATTTTGGGATTTAATAAGAAAAGAGGATGAAATAGTAGAAAGAGTTGTATGGGCATTTTGTAAAGGAGATTATTTTACATTTAGTGGATTTAAACATTTTTATAAATTAATAGTATTTTAAGAGGGAACTTTTGAGGATTATATAAAATTTACATATGATTTCTTTTTGGCTTCAGATCGTAGTGAGATTCCATTTACAGAAATATAAGGATTACTAAGATTACTGGCTTCAAAAATAGATGGTAAAGATCATGTTTTGAGTGATTAAATACTTATGGATATAGTAAATTAAATTCATAGGTAAAAATAATTATTACCAATAATTTTATAGACCTTAAGTAATATCAAAGGAAACATTACAACAATTGATTTTTGAAGATAAGATCCCTCCTACTGTCGTTGTTAAGATGGTGTATGAGTAGTCCTGATAAAATTGTGAATTATTAATATTTTTTATTAACGGCTACTTAGACAATGTATGAATAATCATAGAGACAAGAACTAATTCAATTCAGGAATTATGTTAGATAGATAACTACAGCTAAAATAAACAATACATAAGAAAAGTCTACAAATATCAAGAATTCAACTCAATAATTATAGTTTATTTTGAAAAGCACTCAACTAAAATAAAGTGTTTAAGCACCTATTAACACTTATTAAAATATCAAAACCAGTTATGAACAATCTTATATATAAAGATCTTAATCTTAACCATTTATTTCATTTGATGCTAATTGTTGGAAAGAAAACTAAAACTCTTTTAGTAAAAATTAAAATCAAGGTTATGTTCGTGTTTCTGATTTAATTAGAATTAGCAATGGATTAAATCAAATGTCTAAAAAAGAAATTCATGAGATAACTTCAAAGTATTTTTTATATTTATCTATTTAGTTATTTACATTCACTACATGAATTGGATTAGACTCTTAGCACTTTACTTAAAAGAATAGATTGATTAAAAGATTATATTAAATATTAATAATAATTTTATAATTATAAATGCAATAAGAGTAACCAGATTATCAATAATTTGTTGAGAGAAACAACATTTTACCAGATGATTCTATTTATCATTTTAATTAGGAAGAACATAATGATTTTATAGACAAAAAACCTTGGGATAGTTCACCTAATTATTTTAAGAAATGTAAAATATCAATTGCTGCAGTCATCAAGATGTTGATTCATGCATGTCTTGGAAGTATTTGTACATTAATTTACAAATAGAGAATAATGAAGTCATGGGTCTAATGTAAGGAAGATGCCATTAGGAAACATTCATAATTTATGATGTAATTTATTTAAATGCAGAAGCAAGTGAAGTGAATGTTACTTTAAGTAAATATCTAATAATTAAATTGTTAGCTCCTGAAGCTATGGGAGAATACATTTAAATGATTGAAATGTTGGAAACTGTAGGAAGAGTACATCCTACTGTAGGATGGTATCATTCTCATCCAAGTTATGGATGTTGGTTAAGTGGTACTGATGTACAAAATCAAAGAATGTAACAACAAGGATATGGAGCATTTGTAGCTGTTGTAATTGATCCTATAAGAACTATGACCAATTAAAAAGTAGATATAGGTGCCTTTAGAGTTTACCCTGATGGATATAGACCATAAAAAAGTAATAAATACATATTATATTAGACATTTAGGATGACACTACAGGAATACCTACTTAAAAGATAAAAGATTTTGGAGCTTATCATGATAAATATTATTCTTTAGATATCGAGATATTTAGCAATTCAATTGATAGTAAAATAGTCTAAGGATTATGGGAAAGATATTGGGGTGTAAGATTATCTCAATCAGTTTTAGAAGATAATTAGGTAGATGAGATTATTGATAATTTTAGTTGTATTTGAGATAATGTTTATGTGATTTGAAAGATAAATGCTTCATTAAATATGATCAACCATACTAAGGGAGTGGACAATAGAATAACGAGAAATAGTAAATAAAGGAGGCTCAGAAATTTTCAGTTGAATTAGCAGGTGCTTTGCTTTCTGAGACTGTGAAGTAAATATTATTCTAATGATCAATATTCATTATATGATATGTTTAATCCATCACAAATTTGGGTTTTATTGGGTAGCCAATTCAACAACATCTGCATAAACTTAAAGTGGTCCCTTTTTAACAGTTCCAAATAGAGCTTAATATCTCTCGACAACTGATGAGTCTAGCGTGCCTCTTTCGATTTGACTTTTAGCTTTTCTATATTGAATAGCCCAGTTAAGAAATTCAACTGCCCTTGATTTATTTTAATATGATGTTGCATAATCATAAAAAACCTAAGTATTAAACAGTAATAATTACTCTAGCACAATATGGTAGAACCAAGAATCCAAATCTCCATGAATATCCAAAATTAAACAATTAAGCATATACTTATAACCCTGCTGTTATAGATATATCTTAAAGATTCCACCAAAGCCATTAAGTGCTGAAGGTTTTATTTAAAACAGTGCTAATATTTGGATCGACTGATTTATAAATATTCACCTCTGATTATTCAATCTGAAATATAATCGATAATATAATATACCTTTCCTAATTGCTATTTCAATTGATATAGCTCTAATTTCTAACTGTAATGTTAAGTTAAAGCAGGGTAGAATGTTTTTCCAAATATCCAGAAACCTCTCATACTTCTCTACAATGCATAGGTATTTTTATCAATCTCTGTTTAATACATCTCGTAATTCTCTCTGAAACTGTTATCCCATTATTACAAAGTTGGACTATTTAATGCCACTGGTGATTTAGACAGCAACTTTACCATATCTAATAATTTAATTTAATTATATTTATTCACATGTAATAATATCCAATCACATCCTATTCTAAAAATTAAGACAAACTTTATTAATACTCTAATCGATATACTCCTAATAAATATACTGATTGGCATAAAAAATATCAACCTAAAAATAAACTTGATTGTCAACCTGATCTTAATTTTTAGGCTCAATCCATTTTAAACTAAAGGAATTTCTAAGTCACTCAAAGAAGATATTCTTAAATTGACACTCCATAACCATCAGTTAATCAATATCAAAAATTCAATCAAGAAATTAAATCTCCATTTAATTCTAATTCTAATTTTGATTTTGAAAATTATATTCGGAGACTTAAGATTAGACTCAACTAACAACCTTGATTTCAATTAAATCATATTTCATATAGTTATCCAAAAACTTTTCATATACTGTTATCTATACAATTTTAAATCCTCTAATTTTAAACATTTAATTTACTGTTACTATATCTAACTATCAAATTTTCATTAATTTATTTTAACTATGATTATTAAATTCTTTTCATTTGATTGTTTTATTAAAGTACATTTTATTCTTTATTATCATATAAGAACATTTTATTAATTATTAATATGAATTTTATTCAACGATTCTAGTTAATTAAATGTCAAAAGCATCCAGATAATTCAATTACAAATCTATGTCTTAATGAACAATGTAATCAACCACATTAATTTTGTTAAACTTGTGTTAAACTTCATGTTGCACATTCAAATTAAATTATTTACATGAAATAGATTGATGTTTTACTTAAACGAAACTCTAATGTTAATGAATTCTCGTAAGATCAACTTGGATTAGAAACTTATAATATATATCGTGATTTTAAGAAAGCCATTTAAAATAGACTTAATTCATTGGAAGAAGAATTAAGAGTCATCATTCTCAAATTAGTAAATGATTAAAAGATTAATCAATATGGATATAAATTTTTATAGAGTATTAATGATTTTGGTAGTGATGATATTCAAGATTTAAGACAATATCTAATAAAAGAATAGAAAGAAATTTAAAAAAATCAAATTATTCTTAAAGAAAATCAAAGCAAATAAACATTAATTAATCTAAAAGAATATTTAAGTGATTAGATTCCAAATATACAAAAAGAAGTTTTCGATCAATTAGATAGCTTGAGTAGCACATTTTATTCAAATACTTAAAGAATTGATAGATTATAAAAAGTTTTGATAAGTAATAGTATAAGTTGATATATTTAGCTGATGATGGTTTGAGTCAACCAAGCATTTTTGATTAGAATACAATCCGAGTTGTATAATTTGAAGTAAGAGATAAACCTTTGTATATAACAGGAATCTACTAACCTATGCTATATAAGGGAAGCTATAATTCAACAAATTATGATTCATAAACTTAATCATAATTTAAAATAATTTACAAGTTACATGAAGGATATGATTTAAGCAAATACATTTATAAAGAAAATAAAATGTTAGAACATGAAAAATTAAAGATATCGGATGGTCACTTATATTATATTGAATTAACAAAGACAATAAAATTGAACCCGCATAAGATTTATTGTATCTCAATATCAACTAAGGAATCTAAAGCATTTTATACTTATTAATATTCCAATAGTAAAATTGATAACCCATTAATCAAATGGTAATCAGAGAATCTATCAGATTGTGATAAATTCATAAAAAATGCAAATAAACATCTATTTTCTTATTCAGATATTGATTAGATACCGGCAATATAGGTGAAGTTGTGACATTATTAAATTACATACATACATTAATCATTTTTTTAATAATACTTTGGAAATAAAGTATGCACCCACTAAAACAATAGCAGCAAATATGTATAACCCTAAATAAGATTGTTATTATTCATCTTTAAAATTATGCTTCTTATTCTTTACATTAACTTTAGTTTCTGGTAATTTAGCTTCATTGCCCCAAATTCTATGAGATGGTGTTCCATCCCAACATAATGGAGTTGTAGATAGATTCAAATACTTATTTTCCATCCATTCATCTCTATTAGAATAGGAATTCACTTTATATCCTAATGATGTACAGAATTAATCTCCATTAGTCACAATGTTTCTAAGTTCAGAACATAACACGTCATTCTAGAATTATAAATGTTCTTACTTAATAACAAAGTCTTAATTTCTATGTTTTTTCTTCATATTAAAATAAATCCATCGAACATGCTTAATACATTTGATTACAAAAGTGAGGACAGAATCCAACTCTAACTTACTATCCTATATCACCATCACAATCAGAACAAATAGTTTTTGTAAATATCTCCTAACATTATGGACTAAGTTCAACTGCTTATTACTATTCTCTATACCATCTAAAATTAATACTATTATCAAGAATACTTGTATTTTAATTCTTCTAAATTTTATTGACTACAACATGTTCTTTTAGCATAAGAATCACAAAAATATATTCCTGATAAGTGATGAAGCTTCTACTATCCATAAACAATTCTATTTTTCAAACTGCATTCTTGATCAGCTAATTAATTCATCACCTCCTTTACATAACCTAACTATGCTTATGCCACACTTAACAAAATTATTTATATTAACATATTTTAATTTATGTTCACTTTATAATTCTAAACATCTTAATTTCATACTATCTACTTAATTAATTATACGCTCTTATCTTTCATTTCCTTCTTCTCACTAAATAAATTAGTTCCATTTATTTTATATAATTATTTCCTTAAAAATTCTATTCCAAAATTTATTTTTAATTAATTTCAAATGGAACTACTTCAATTAAGTTCTAATCATATTGAATTCACATACAATAAATATGATAATATGCAATCCACTATGGTTATTTACAATAATACGCTCACTCCAATTGCTTATAAAGTATTATTTATTTTATTTTTATAGTTCAAAGCATCAAATAGAAATATCTTTCTTGTAAGACCATCAATTGGTATTGTTTAACCTAAATAAAATCAATTCATTAGAGTTACTCTTCATTGTAAAGTCTTTGAAAATACTTCTATCAATGAATTTAATGAAAAATTACAATTAATTTCATTTCCCATTTTCTCTGGAATCCAGGATCCAACACCCATTTTCAAAGATTCAACTAGATAATTTGAAAATTAAAAAATTAAAATTGTCATCTCTTCTTTTGACAAATAAATTATGTCATAAATTGGTGGAAGTCCTAATTTTGTTTTTGAATCACTTCATAAATAGAATAGTTAATTTGACTAGTATAATCCTCTTATTGAACCTAAATATGATCAAAATAGATTTAAAGTTTAATAGTATCAAGCCAAAAATTAAGTTATGCAATAAGAAATTGCTTAAAAAGAATAATAATTAGTATTATTTTTATTTATACTTAAGTTAAATTTTTAAAAGACTCATAGTGTTTCTAATGAAAAATTTAACAATGATCCTAATAAGAATTCAAAGGACACTTTACTACTTATCATAGTGAGTATAATGTCGTTTTACATAATTTTAAGATATTTTGATATAATAAATAAAGTTAATCCAAGATGAGTATATAATATATAATATTATATATCAATTAAGTTGTATATTAATTCAAAGTCATTTAAATGTACTCTCAATTATTTTATTATTCTAATTAAATTTTATCTAATATACTAAAATATTTATAGATGAACATTGAAGTACTTTGCCCTTTACATAATGAATATATTATTTAACTTGATATTGAAGAGAATATTGAGCTTGGAAAGAGAACTTTATGTGTAGAATGCCAAGGAAAAAAACCATTAAGTTTAAAATAAAGTTTTGAGAAATTGAATGCATTCAATTAAGAATAATAAAATAATAAAGAAGCTTTGCCTTAAGTTTTAATAAAATAATTAGAAGGCTTAAGAAAAAATTTAGTTTAAGAAATAAATTCAGCCATAGCATCAATATAGATTGAAACAAATTAGAGAGTTATTCAAATACAAGATAATTACAGTATAGTTAGTTTATCAGAACTTTAGAATTTAGGGGAGAGATTAAGTTCTTTGATGAACTATTAAGAAAAGTTTTTGTAAAAGTTGATTTCTAATATAAAGCTATAGTTATATTAAATTTTAGATAAGTTTTTTATTGAGAATCCATAAAAGATATTGTTAGAAAAATAAAACTCACAATAAAAAGGAAGCTTTATTAATTTGTAGGATGAAAGAAAAACAATGAATTCACAATTTAAAAAGATAAATGAATATAATATTGAAGATCCTTGTTAAGCTATAGCGTTTAATCAAAATGGAAATATAATGATAACAACTTCTAAGAATGATATATATGTATGGGAATTTTAGAAAGGAAGAATGAACTAATAAAGAATTCTTAAAGAACATAATAGTGATGTCGTTACATTATGTGTTAGTAAGAAATAAAACTTTTTTTTTTCTGGAAGTATTGATTCATAAATAATTGTATGGTATTTATGGAAGGCTGTAGCGAAATTAAATGAACATAAAGGTAGAATAAATTGCATAGTTCTTGGGAAAAATGAAGATACAATGATATCAAGTAGTGAGGATGGAACAATAAGAGTTTGGAATTATATTAGATCTGAATGGAGAAGTGGATAAATAATGAGAAATCATAAAGGATCAGTTTACTAGATTTCATTAAATGAAGTGAACACTATGTTAGTTTCAACAAGTTAAGATTCCACTGTTATTATATGGGAAATTAAGGAAAATTAATAATGGTATTAAAAATATTAACTAAATTAAAATGTATTTGGTAGAAAAGTATGTTTTGTTTATAATTGTAAATTTGTTTGGGCACCTCATAATTCTAATTCAATTATAATTTATGAAATCACTTAAAAGTAATTAAATAAGATANATTCTAATTAAATTTTATCTAATATACTAAAATATTTATAGATGAACATTGAAGTACTTTGCCCTTTACATAATGAATATATTATTTAACTTGATATTGAAGAGAATATTGAGCTTGGAAAGAGAACTTTATGTGTAGAATGCCAAGGAAAAAAACCATTAAGTTTAAAATAAAGTTTTGAGAAATTGAATGCATTCAATTAAGAATAATAAAATAATAAAGAAGCTTTGCCTTAAGTTTTAATAAAATAATTAGAAGGCTTAAGAAAAAATTTAGTTTAAGAAATAAATTCAGCCATAGCATCAATATAGATTGAAACAAATTAGAGAGTTATTCAAATACAAGATAATTACAGTATAGTTAGTTTATCAGAACTTTAGAATTTAGGGGAGAGATTAAGTTCTTTGATGAACTATTAAGAAAAGTTTTTGTAAAAGTTGATTTCTAATATAAAGCTATAGTTATATTAAATTTTAGATAAGTTTTTTATTGAGAATCCATAAAAGATATTGTTAGAAAAATAAAACTCACAATAAAAAGGAAGCTTTATTAATTTGTAGGATGAAAGAAAAACAATGAATTCACAATTTAAAAAGATAAATGAATATAATATTGAAGATCCTTGTTAAGCTATAGCGTTTAATCAAAATGGAAATATAATGATAACAACTTCTAAGAATGATATATATGTATGGGAATTTTAGAAAGGAAGAATGAACTAATAAAGAATTCTTAAAGAACATAATAGTGATGTCGTTACATTATGTGTTAGTAAGAAATAAAACTTTTTTTTTTCTGGAAGTATTGATTCATAAATAATTGTATGGTATTTATGGAAGGCTGTAGCGAAATTAAATGAACATAAAGGTAGAATAAATTGCATAGTTCTTGGGAAAAATGAAGATACAATGATATCAAGTAGTGAGGATGGAACAATAAGAGTTTGGAATTATATTAGATCTGAATGGAGAAGTGGATAAATAATGAGAAATCATAAAGGATCAGTTTACTAGATTTCATTAAATGAAGTGAACACTATGTTAGTTTCAACAAGTTAAGATTCCACTGTTATTATATGGGAAATTAAGGAAAATTAATAATGGTATTAAAAATATTAACTAAATTAAAATGTATTTGGTAGAAAAGTATGTTTTGTTTATAATTGTAAATTTGTTTGGGCACCTCATAATTCTAATTCAATTATAATTTATGAAATCACTTAAAAGTAATTAAATAAGATAACAGATATGAGTTTAGAAGGCAACACATTTGATTCTCAATATTGTTCTCTAATTTACAATAAAATTAAGAATTTATTAATTTATTAATCATTTAATAAACTCACAATTATCTATAAACCAACTAGTTTACTAAATGTGTTATAAACAATAGATGCAAAAGATGACAACTTTTGCTTTGAATTAACAGATGATGGTAATTATTTAGTGTATGGATGCAATAATTAATTTATTATTTACCAATTTAATGAATAATTTGTTTTTGATTAATGAATTCTAAATAAATATATATTGATTAAAATAATTGAATAATTATTAGCTATTAAATACATTTTAATAATTCATTAAATCAAAAAAATAATATCAAAAAATTTATATCAGGAAATCTTTAAGAAAACATTTTAATAATATAAAGAAATTAAATTAATTATTGAAAGCAATTTAAAATAATTTATTAATTTAAGTTCTATTATAAATTTAAGTTGGCTAAATGAATAAAAGTATCAATAAAGAGAAGCTTAAAATGAAATAAGCTTAGAAAGGGTTGAAAAAGAATGTAAATCAACTAATATTGAAGTTAATCCAAATTTAAAGAATAATTAATTTAATATAAATGGATAGATAAGAACAAAAAAATATTCCAATCATAGAAAATCTTTCTTAAAATTAAATATGGTTGATCTGAAAAAGAAAAGGAAAAACGTATTAACAGGAAAAAAAGAAAAATTGAATAAGAATGATAAATCTATTTAAATTGGAGAAGTTTCTCTTAATCTCTTAAAAGACAAATCGGATAAAAATGATTTCTTTATTGATAGAATTAAATTAGGGAAAGACCTGTGGTTTTCGTTTTTTCGGTTTTAGAAAGAATGTAAGGTATTTTACAATAAACTCAATCAATCAAAAATATTACATGAATCTTAGGTTTTCGAAATTATTATTTTTAATATATGTTTTCTCTCATTTTCTATACAATCACATTGAATCACATTCTAAAATTTTTGATTAATGCCATTATTTTATTGCTTTAATTTTAATACAATTGTCGTATTTAATTTTAAATTCCCCTCGGAAAAGAGCACTAAAAGTATTTAGTATTGGTTTATTTATTGGTTCTACTGTATGGATAAGAGTTTTTAAAAAAATGCTCACAAATTTTAAAAAAGAACAGAATAGTTTATGATAATTATCCCTATTATTAAATACTATTCAGATTACTTTTGATATAAAAAAACAAGTTTAATTCATTCTTTTAATTGTTATTAAAATTTTATAATAGAAAGATAATTTGAAATAAATTTTTCTCTATATTCAGATATATTTGGCCATTATCTGGAGTTAAGAATCTTATTGGATAGTAGGATTTATTTTTGATTATGATTTATGTCAATTTAATTTATAACTCAATTTACAAACAAAAATAATAAAATATATGTGTTTTTCAATTATAATAAGATACTGCTTCATAAAAATAAGAAGCCAAATTAAATTCTATTATATAAGTATTAAAAAATATATGTATAATAACTTATAATAGTATCAGTATCCTTTAGGCTTAAGACTAATTAGGCCTTCTAAATAATGTATGTCTTATTCAACCCCATCATTTTATAAGTCTTAAGTATTAAGAAAAGCCTTCTAGAAACTAAGAGCCCTATAATAGAAGTAAAACAGTTCTCTCAGCAATTCAGATTGAAACTCATGTTTAAGGGAGGCAATCAGAGTTTTAGTGTCTTTAGTTTGAATATCTTTCACATCAGCTATCACTTCTTGAACCTATTCCAATGTGTATTTCCCCTTAACAAAGTAGTAAGCTGCATAAAGCATTTGTACAAGGCCTGGTGTTTATACAATAATTTCTTCCATTTGTTATTTAAATTAATAATTATAATAAAAATGATTTATCTATGTAAATTGTGAATTTATGAAGTTTAATAAATTAAAGTAATAGAAAATGACTTTGTTTAAGAATTTCATGGCTTTTTTTATTCTACATGTTACTTTTTAATCTGCTATTCTTTTCTAGTCGACAAATGATCAAGTTTCTTAGATAATCTTTAATTTTTGAACCCAAAATTCTATTTAGAATTTTAAAATTGATGAGAAAGCTAATTATAATTCAATAATTATTATCCTTATTATTAAATTAACACTATGCTAAAATTTTTATTAAGATAAGTACTGGATTTAATGGTTAATATAAATTTTATTATTTTTCAATAATACTTAAAATTAATTCAAAGTTATTTCTCTAAAATAGAAATCTTACATTATTAATGAGAGAAAATTTCATATTATGCTAAGAAATTAGACATATTCAATTACACTAAAATCTGTGATCAAAATAGTAAATATTCTTTTATTGATTCTAATTTTAATAATTTACAAATTTTTCATTATGAACAAATCCTTATAATAAATCATATATATTATCTAAAGTGTTCACAATTCTGTTTTTTTTTATCTAAAAAAACAGTTTATTTTTGTTTAGACTTAAAATTTTATTTTATCAGGCCTTGATAAAAGTAATGATATAAAATTTAGAATAAAAAATTATTGGAAAATAAGAATGTTTAATAAAGTGAGATATAATTTAATATTTAATAAAATAAATTGGATATTATAATGATGCTTATTAATAATAATTGAAAAATATAATTAGTAAAAGAAATTTTAATGATAAATATATAATTATAGANTATAATAACTTATAATAGTATCAGTATCCTTTAGGCTTAAGACTAATTAGGCCTTCTAAATAATGTATGTCTTATTCAACCCCATCATTTTATAAGTCTTAAGTATTAAGAAAAGCCTTCTAGAAACTAAGAGCCCTATAATAGAAGTAAAACAGTTCTCTCAGCAATTCAGATTGAAACTCATGTTTAAGGGAGGCAATCAGAGTTTTAGTGTCTTTAGTTTGAATATCTTTCACATCAGCTATCACTTCTTGAACCTATTCCAATGTGTATTTCCCCTTAACAAAGTAGTAAGCTGCATAAAGCATTTGTACAAGGCCTGGTGTTTATACAATAATTTCTTCCATTTGTTATTTAAATTAATAATTATAATAAAAATGATTTATCTATGTAAATTGTGAATTTATGAAGTTTAATAAATTAAAGTAATAGAAAATGACTTTGTTTAAGAATTTCATGGCTTTTTTTATTCTACATGTTACTTTTTAATCTGCTATTCTTTTCTAGTCGACAAATGATCAAGTTTCTTAGATAATCTTTAATTTTTGAACCCAAAATTCTATTTAGAATTTTAAAATTGATGAGAAAGCTAATTATAATTCAATAATTATTATCCTTATTATTAAATTAACACTATGCTAAAATTTTTATTAAGATAAGTACTGGATTTAATGGTTAATATAAATTTTATTATTTTTCAATAATACTTAAAATTAATTCAAAGTTATTTCTCTAAAATAGAAATCTTACATTATTAATGAGAGAAAATTTCATATTATGCTAAGAAATTAGACATATTCAATTACACTAAAATCTGTGATCAAAATAGTAAATATTCTTTTATTGATTCTAATTTTAATAATTTACAAATTTTTCATTATGAACAAATCCTTATAATAAATCATATATATTATCTAAAGTGTTCACAATTCTGTTTTTTTTTATCTAAAAAAACAGTTTATTTTTGTTTAGACTTAAAATTTTATTTTATCAGGCCTTGATAAAAGTAATGATATAAAATTTAGAATAAAAAATTATTGGAAAATAAGAATGTTTAATAAAGTGAGATATAATTTAATATTTAATAAAATAAATTGGATATTATAATGATGCTTATTAATAATAATTGAAAAATATAATTAGTAAAAGAAATTTTAATGATAAATATATAATTATAGATTTAAGCCAGAAATGATTAAAATTTTATTTATAGTGATATTGATTAAATATGGAGGAGCTATAGAAGATATAAAAGATGTAAGATGTAATTAAAAAATATAATTTCCTCTAAATTAAAATGAAGGATTCACAGAAGGAGTTAGGGGAGAAGATTAAAATTATTACTTATAAACATACAAAAGGATATTAAAAACAAATAGTGAATAATAAACTTTGGCAATAGTTGATGAAGCAGATTCATCAAATTATTCTTGTTAAAGAGTTGTAAATCATCCTGATGGAGTACATGTATTTTCAGTATGTCTTGAATATGGAGTAAAACCATATGTTAGTGCATATAATTGCAAAGATAATATATGTTAATAAGTTGGGTAAACTTAATAAATTTGGAATTGTGGAGATTAGTTTTCAAAATTAGAAGTGATAGGAAACACATTTGTAGTGTTAAATGCATAAAGAGATTATCCATTTTATTCAAATGATTAAGGTAGAGTGATGTTAATGAATTATGTTTTAACAGAGGATACTTTTTATTTAAAGATTCCATCTTATTATTTAGATTTTTATTTTTTTGGATTGATAAATAAAATAGATATAGTTGATTTTAGTATTCATTAATATGAAGAAGAAGGATTGTAAATGATTAAAATGTTTTTGTCTGATAGAGATAATGGATTATTGTGGGTAGATTGTTAGTTGAAATAAAATTAATTAATACCAACATCTAAAGGCAGAATTGAACTGAGACCTTACATTTTTATGAAACCTTAATAAATATTTTTGACAAGCAGATTTATTTCTAAAAATAATAATTAATATGATATATTAGTTGCTTCAAATAATAATGATCATCATATTGTAACTGTAATTTTTGAAAATGATTAAGTGAGTCAATTTTTCATAAAGACTTCTCTTAATTAATATTTAGATTGGCATGCTATGAATAGATTGGATGTATATAAGAGTTATTTTGCAATAACATATTGGTCACCAAATAACATATCAGCTATAAGTATCTATAAATTATCAGAAAATTCAAAAAATCAAGCTCTATCTACATAACCTATTTATACAATATTGCTAACATAACAAACTTATTCAGTTGTATTTTTTGGAGAGAATAACAATTAAGAAATAGTTTTAAATTATAGATCATAAAATAATGAGATAACTCAATGTAAATTAAGTTGAGTAGATTTATTAGAATATACTATGTAGAATTTGAGATATTTCTTAAATTTATTAAATATAGTATATTAAAAATATTTTTGTATATTAAAAATTTAAAATATGTTAATTCCATTATTGATAGCTATAAGTCTAGCAAGAAATCTTACAATATTACCAACAGTGAATGAATTATGGATCAATGATCTTAAAGATATATTTGGAAGTATTGATAACCCAAGTTATGAATTGACACCATTAGATTCACCATTTGTAATAGTGGATAGTATAAATCTTATGGGTATCAAAATAATATCAAATAGGTTTTACAAATCATATAATGAATGAATAACCAAAAAGTTTTGTAAGCAATAACAAATTTACATAATTTGCAGTCCTAGATTTATAGAATATAGTGTATTGGACTAAATAGTATATATAATTTGGTTAAAATTTAGGACTTTACCAGTAGACACACCTCAATTCTTGGGTAAAATTTAATTAAATGAAACTTGTTATAATCTTGACTTCATTGATGATAACACTCTAATAATAGATTGTCTAGATTCAAAATAATTTAATTAGTTTACTTTTTTATAATTAGGTTCTAGTACAAAACAAACTAAACTAGTAGATAGAAACATTATTAATCAATCTTTAATAACCTTTAGAAAAATTAATGTCCTCGATGATGATTGTGTATTACTTGGATAATCGAGTGTAAATCTATCTTATATAGATGTATATGATTTGAATTCTATGAATAATACAGGCTATTAATTAAATACAACTATTATTAGTAAAATAGCCTAAATAAAAGATAAATAATATCAATTTAGATTGGTTGATTTCAAGTCTAAATTTGGTCTTATTTATGTTCTTGATGAGTCAAGACTAATGATTTTATCATATCAAGAAGAATGGAAATTACATCTTTAAATTTAATTGATAGCCAAAGGTGTAGCTTTTGATGTAAAAATAGTATCAGATTTTAATGGAAATGAAAAATTTGAATTTGTAGTACTCACTCAAAATGGAAAATTGTATTACTATAATGATTTTGCAAATTCTCCTATTGAAATGAATATTGTAGGCTAAAGTATATAAATATCAAACTAATATATACTGGTTCAATAAGATCAAAATCTATTATAAATTAATATTAATGATAAACAAATTGTTAAATCTAAAATATGGAATTAAAACAAATTTTTAGTATCAGGTCTATATTCTACTTTGATTGAAGTAGAGAAAACATTCACTAAGAGATATATATTAAGTAATGGTTATATTTAGGGATAATCTAAATCCACAATATATAATTAATCTTAAATAACATTAAAAGCAACATACATTGATACCTTATAAAAATAATAAATATAAATTTCTAGAATATCTTATTAGTTTTTGAACAATACAGATTAAAATCTTTATTAAATAAACACTCCAAGCTTATTTGAGAATGCTATATAAGGTAATATATATTATGAAAATCTGAATCCATTTCTGTCTGGGCCAAATCAAAAATATTCTTCAGAATCAGGATCTAGTGATTTAATTTTAAATTTCTATAGATAAATAGAATAATTACAAGAATTATTCCCTACAGATATTGTATTTCAAGAAACAATTGCTATAGATTAGAATTAAGCAATATTGATATTTTAAAGGAGAAATTTAACTTTGTAATTATGGGGTTGTAATTTTATTGTACCAAAGAGTGGATGTGCACCTTAAACTATTTGGTTAAATATTGATGTTGAATTAACAAAAAATACATTTTCTGTTTGGAGTTTTGAAAAAGATTTTTATTTTGCATTTACAAGTAAATCAAACGAAGTTTAGATATGGGAAATAGCACCAGAAAAGATTCAACGTATTCAAAATATTAAGAATAAAAATGATGCTGTGATTTAAATTTTAGGAGTACATAAAAACTTGTATATATTATTAGAAAAAGGAGAAATAGAAGTTTATGAATTAGGATTATTAGTGGAAAAGATAATTCCAGCTGAACCTGCTTTATAGATTTTTAATAATCCTTATCATAGCAATTAAATTATAATAGTAAAAACCAAGACAACCCTTATTGTTTATCGATTTAATTTTATAGGTTAGGTAATAGAATACTTTTAAAATTATAACTCAGATATATATGTTTCTATATATGATCAATCATTTATTGTAGTGAATTCAACAATGATACAAGAATATCTAATGACATCCTCATAAATTAAATTAACTAAATAATTACCATTATATGAATATAAAATAATTAATCCAAATTATGCATTTCAGTCTAAACACAATGGATTATTATTCATTCCATGTGAATTAAATGAAAAAATTAGTTTTTTAATTTACTAACCCTAAGTATTAGCTCGTGATGCTTTAATTTCAGTTATAAATACTAATATATAAGGAGATCTTAAAAATTTTATTATATCAGTTGATGGATTCTAAACATCTTTATTCTTCTACTAATATTAAAAATAAAATAGTTTCTATTAAGTTTTGAAGAGAACTCAAGCAAATTCAATATTCAAATCTACTGAGAAATTTGTAGACTATTGTTAAACAATAGATTAAACTTTTACAGTTTCCAATTCTTTTGACTAATAAGATTTTACAACTAAATTAACAGTTCTAAATAGAATGGATAATATTACTATTATAGATACAAATTTATAGGAAATTCTTTTAGATGAAAATAACTCAACTAATTATTTATCTTTAGGAGGCAATTGGTACAAAGGATAAGTAGTAAATATTAAAGCTGAGTGTAATTAATGTCCTTCAGAAATTGTTCTAAATGAACCTATATATCCTTTAACTTATAATTTTCTAGATAATGCAAGAATTATAACTTAATTTGATGAAGATCATTAAGTTGTAGTTAATAAAAATGAACTTTTAATTATTGGATCAAATCTAAATCAAACACTCAAATTATCATTATAATAAGAATATTAAACTATAGCTATTCATCCTAAATAAAAATATATGATTTTAGCAGCCAATGATGACAAGAATACAAATCTACTCATGATATCTTGTAAAAATATAAATTCTTGTTCTTAATTGTAAACTAAAACTATATAACTAACTGCTGCTAACTAAATGTAAATTATTTAAGAAGACTACTTATTTATTAGTACTGCATAAGAATTAGTTATATATCACATTACACAGATTGAGAATTCATGGACTATTGAGTAGAAATCTTCAATTAATATAACCACATACTCACCTTGTAAAGGCATCAATTATTTTATACTATAATAAATCGAAACTGATAATGGATCAGATTATTCTGTTACTTTATTAGATTCAACAAATCAAATTTTATTCTTATTTTATAGATTCAAAAATGGATCATTAACATTAGTTAATTCTGGAATTCGTAATTTATATGATGAGATTCTCAATCAAGCATAGTATGTATAACAAGACACTAAATTTATTTAATTATTGTCATATTCTCAAATCTTTAAAACTATAACATAATTTATTTATATTAAGATGATTTTGATAACTAATAATGTTGCATCATATGGAATTAAATTTGAATTTAATTTAAATTATGACTATTAAGGTAGTCAAATTTAATTTATTGTTAATCAATACGGTGATTGGACTACCCTTGCTGCAGGATCCATTAAGTCTAACAAATTATGTATTCCTTACTCTAATGGATTTAATTCAGTAATATTATTTTACAATATTCCAACCCAATCTTAATCTATCATTAAACCTTCAACAATCACATCTATATCAGGCATTCATAGCAATGTTTTACCTTACAATACTCCTCTTGTTGTTTATGTTTTTAACACAGAAAATTAATAATACTATTTATTAACTAACTTGTAACGATATCAAGATAAGATATGTGTCAATCTATATTCACTAAATGATTAACCTATACTTGCTATTACTAATACAGTTTCATTAGATCTTCAATAGTAAATAACTATTTTTGTTACAAATGATTTCAGTAGTGCTTCTAAATAATTTACTTTAAAATCACTTTATGTACCATTCTAAAATTCTGTAAAGTAACTTATTTTATATATTTTCTAGTATCGGATGGATTATAACAGTTATTGTCTTCGCAAGTTTGCTAGTTTTTATAATTTTATTTTATATGATACGAAGAAGAGCTATTCGTCTATCATTTTAGAACTATTAAGCCATGGAAGAATTTCAATTAAGGAACATTTGATTCATTTATTAACAATTGTGTATGAAATTTTATTTTTATAATTTTTTTACATTTTCAAATATTATGCTTTGTTTTTACTTATCAAATAATTTGAAATAGACTAATATAAATTTATTACATGATTTATACAATCTTTCTAAACTATACCTTTTATTTTTGTAATATAATCTCAGCAATTCCCTTATTCAGAATTAATTGTTAATTAATAACACTTTACATAGAATACTATTATGATTTTGGGAGGTCTCTTTTTTTTGAATTCAAAAAATGTATTAAATTGATTCTTATTTGATAATATTAACTATTAATAAAATTGATTTAAACAGAATGTAATTTTTTTGATGTTATTTGGAAAGCTAAATTAAGACTATAATTTATATAGATTTTTATATAATCTAAGTCTTGATAAATATCGTAATATGGGAATTTAATTAGTTTAAATTAAAGAATTAATTAAATTTATCTAAAAGTAATCAAAGGCATCAAGTATGTGTAATGGTGAGAGAAGAGAAGGAGATAAAAGAATGAGAAATAGATGTTGTCTGATATTTTGAAATAATTTAATTGGTATATATATAATTTTAGAGATGTATTAATTAATGATATAAAAATAAAAGTAAGAAGAATTTAATAAAAAGTTTTTTGGGAGGGCAAAGAAGGGGATGTTGTAAAGATTCTTTTTTTATGATCGGACCCTAAATTATATTGAAATTCCAATTTTCACAGAATTTAGTGGTCGTAAATAAATAGTTCCGATGAGAAATACATAATGTTTAAAACCGACTTGTATATATGATATAGAGGAATTGTATTCTAGATATGAGAAATCGAATTATTCAAGTTATGCAAACTTTATGTGTCATACTTGTAGAAAGATGATTGATTTATAGGGTTTTTATATGGATGAAGATTTGAGGAGGATTATAGAAGTGATTTGGAATACCTATAATAAATTTAGTTTTTAATGTTCAAAAGCAGCTATATTTAAAGATGGTTCATGGGAAGCAGTACTTCCAGAATATTTGAAGAGGATGTATCGTAAGAATGTAGAGGAATATGATGTGAAATAAGATAATGATGATGTTATTGATTAACCTGAAGAGATAATATAATTTGAATTACCATTATTACATGAGTTTGATGTTTAGGAATATGCAGAATTGTTAGAATAAGAAGATAGAGGAGATGAAAGACATCATGATAGTGATATAATATTGAGACGTTATAATTTATAAGTTAAATGGGGAGAGTTTGCATAATTTAAAAATCAAGTTGTAGTGTCTATTAATGTTATGGGAATATTTATGCGTTATTTACATGATTATTTAGAAGACAGAAAGAATGCATTAAAAATGCAAGCTAAACTTAAATTAGGTATATTATGTATTAAAGTTACATCTTATGATCGTTTTTCAAAAAGAGCGGAATTCTTTTTTCTTTCAGATAATTTAGAAGGACCTAAAGCAAATTATTCAGAATATGAATAAGTCATTATAGCACTCTATTATGATGAAAGATGGATTGCATTAATTTGTGATATTGNAATATCGTAATATGGGAATTTAATTAGTTTAAATTAAAGAATTAATTAAATTTATCTAAAAGTAATCAAAGGCATCAAGTATGTGTAATGGTGAGAGAAGAGAAGGAGATAAAAGAATGAGAAATAGATGTTGTCTGATATTTTGAAATAATTTAATTGGTATATATATAATTTTAGAGATGTATTAATTAATGATATAAAAATAAAAGTAAGAAGAATTTAATAAAAAGTTTTTTGGGAGGGCAAAGAAGGGGATGTTGTAAAGATTCTTTTTTTATGATCGGACCCTAAATTATATTGAAATTCCAATTTTCACAGAATTTAGTGGTCGTAAATAAATAGTTCCGATGAGAAATACATAATGTTTAAAACCGACTTGTATATATGATATAGAGGAATTGTATTCTAGATATGAGAAATCGAATTATTCAAGTTATGCAAACTTTATGTGTCATACTTGTAGAAAGATGATTGATTTATAGGGTTTTTATATGGATGAAGATTTGAGGAGGATTATAGAAGTGATTTGGAATACCTATAATAAATTTAGTTTTTAATGTTCAAAAGCAGCTATATTTAAAGATGGTTCATGGGAAGCAGTACTTCCAGAATATTTGAAGAGGATGTATCGTAAGAATGTAGAGGAATATGATGTGAAATAAGATAATGATGATGTTATTGATTAACCTGAAGAGATAATATAATTTGAATTACCATTATTACATGAGTTTGATGTTTAGGAATATGCAGAATTGTTAGAATAAGAAGATAGAGGAGATGAAAGACATCATGATAGTGATATAATATTGAGACGTTATAATTTATAAGTTAAATGGGGAGAGTTTGCATAATTTAAAAATCAAGTTGTAGTGTCTATTAATGTTATGGGAATATTTATGCGTTATTTACATGATTATTTAGAAGACAGAAAGAATGCATTAAAAATGCAAGCTAAACTTAAATTAGGTATATTATGTATTAAAGTTACATCTTATGATCGTTTTTCAAAAAGAGCGGAATTCTTTTTTCTTTCAGATAATTTAGAAGGACCTAAAGCAAATTATTCAGAATATGAATAAGTCATTATAGCACTCTATTATGATGAAAGATGGATTGCATTAATTTGTGATATTGAAGCAAGGAGATTGAAATTAATTGATTTTCTTGAAGATACTATAGCTAGAACAACACTTGATGAAGTTTATGAATTAGGTTAATATTTGATATCTCAAATATTTTCACCATATAAATTTCCTAAAAATCCATCAAGAGAATTACTTATAGGTTAGATTTAAGAAGATATGAGAAATGAAATTCCTAGAAAAATATAGTTATATTGTGATTGTGGACATCATGTTGCATAATATTTCTATTATTATATTTTAGAAGAAATAGAATTAATTAAGATTTAATAGAAATGGCCATAGGATGTTGGTGTCAAGTAAAAGATTCATAATGTTAAATATAAATTAGGTGAATAGGATTATTTTACTGCTAAAATATGTTGGGTACTTTTAAAAATGTCATAAGATACTGGTTTTAAAATAATTTATTATAATATGAAACCTAAAGAGAAAGTAGAGAATGATACATTAGATGATTTTATTATAGAAAGAGCAAGATTGAAAGCAGAAAAACTTTGGGAAGATAATAATTAATAACCAAAATAAACGACATTTTAAATAGTTCATGGTTTAAATCAAGTTGAAGATGTTGTAATATCAAAGAATGGTAATAATAGTTTGGATGATAAAAAATAGAATAAATAAAAAAGTAGAGTAGAGAGATATTGGGGAATGGAGAGTGGAGTATAATTTAATAATTAAAGAAGGATGGAAAGTGGATTATAGTATAATAATAATTAAAGAAATATTAATAATAATAATGGAATTCAATAATAATAAAAAGATAACTCATTATTGAGTAATTTAAGTTTTTAGTTTGGTAATTAAGAGTAACCAACAGTGAAACATTAATCTTAATTATAAGATGAGTCCAAATCTATATAAGATGTGCTTGGATAATTGGAAGGTAAAAATAAAAATAAAAATAATAATAATAATAATAATAATAATAATAATAAAAATAATAATTATAATTATAATAATAATAAAAATAATAATTAATAAGAGAAACCATTTTTAGTGATGCCAAAAGCATAATTGTAGTAGTATTTATCTGATTACAAGTAGTAAATCATAAAAGAATATAAATAATAAGCATTATTGAAAGGATATAAGTAATAATTGATAGGAGAATTTAATGTAGGAAGTAAGAAAAGTGGAGGAGTAGATTATGATTCAAAATAATTGAGTGAGAGTCAATATCATAGATTGTTATTGAATTTAGATAAAAGTTTGAATAAGAGTGAATAGAGGGAATTGAAATAACTATAATCTGAGTTAGGTTTGAATGAGTAAGATTTGGCGAATTTAGATGCTTATCAATATGATCAATTACTTGATATGATGAATTAATGATTATAAATAATTAAACAAGCAAGAGCTATCATAATAATAAATCAATTTGTTATGCTAATTATGATGCGTACAATTCTGGATGGGCAGATGCTTCATTATAGGAAATCCAAAATTAATCTAGAATTCCTCCTAAGCTAGCAATCAAGTATCCATTACGAGTCTTGTACATATTTGGAAGCATGTTAATACTATTATCAGCTTCCAAATATATCATATAAAAGGAATAACCCCATAGAAATTAATCTCTTAGGATTACAAGATCTTAATTAAGTGTGTTTAGAAATTCTTATTTGGTTCTTGGATTCATTTTCACTTTATTTTTGATATCTTAACCTCCTTTGATTTCTTCATCGACTTGACCAACTTAATATGTAAAAAAACCTTATATTTTAAATCCCTATTATTCTAACATGATCGAATTTAATAAATTTTTTTGGACAAGCATTGTGAATTGATTATTCTCAGTTACTATTGAATAGAGTCCTATCATTGGAGGAATGAAAGACTTTTAAGCTGAAATACTTTAATTGTAAATAGCTTATAATAAATGTCTTGTTAAATATCTCTTGGCTTAATTATTAATAATGGTGATAAGTACTTCTCCATCATATGTTGTTAAGGTATTTGTTTACAATTTTAATCTCGATGTTTATAATTGTTCTACGAAGTTTTTATTTAATTATTCATCAAATGATGTCATAAAAATATCCATTGATTATATTTAGTAAAAGACAGATTCTGCATAACTTGTACAAATAATTTCAGAAGCATCTAAAGAATTATCATTATCAAAGTAAAATATCCTCTATCTCATATGTTTCATATGATAGTGTGTTAAATTTGTTGTTATTTTAGATATTATGAAACCATTGCTCATTTCTCGAATTATTTTGAATACTAATAGGAACTCATACAATTTCAATTTAATCTGATTATTTTCCAACTCGGTTGTTAGCTTTGCAACTCTTATTATAATTCTAATTTATACAATTCTTCATTGTCTAAACATGTTTTTCTATAGGCAACACTATTGTCTGTAGTTGTTCCTTGAATATAAGAGAGATAATGAGTTTTTATAATTTAAGATTCTTTCGTGATATTCGATATAGAGTTGCTCAAAGCTCTAATTTCCACTTTTGGTAAAGAAAGTTCGACAATTCCTGATTTTTATTTTAACAATTTCCTATTTAAATAATCCTATATTGTGGGCTCTTAAGATCTAATCAAGCTTAAACACACTCCTCCTAATGACATTGGAATTGCCAAAGTATAAAATGCATCTGTATATGTTTCTGTATTACTATCAGCCAACGATATGATAGTCAAAATCAAAACCTAATATAATCACATAATTTATACTGGTAGTATTCGAATTATCAGGAAAGTTATTATATAGATCAAATTCACTTTATACTTTTTATTCTATATGTGTGAAGTCAAATCTTTACCCAACACCTTTCTTAATCTATGAATTTATGTACAAGTCCAAACAATTGTAACAAATGTGATAGAAGTTAGAATAAGCAAGAATACTGTAAATAAATTACCTGGTAATAATGAACACATCCCTATTTTGTTGAATCCTATGGCATTTGAAAGGTAAGCCAAAAGTGCAAAAAAAGTGGAACCTGACACAACAGCTACATGCCTTAATTTGTAGTTATTCGTGAATTTAGAGCTCAGAAAACCTAATGATTCTAAAGAGTAAAGGTTAATATTTATGAAATAAGCAAAAGATGTGAATACATTCAGTATGCCAATAGTAATGCAACCTGGACCAGTATTTTACACTAAAAATGTTGTTTCATACATATCGGGTTGATCATAATAAAATTATGAAAGTATTAAGAAAAATGAGTACATGCATTCTAAAATGAGTACAATTTGAATTGTACGACCTTGTCTTTCATGAAGTTATTTTATTCTACAAATGAGCATCAAAATCAGAATTGTAAATGCGAAAGACAATGAGTTAAGTAGTATCACAATAACTCTAAAAGTAGAATCCTCGTTTTCAATCATTAAAATATATATATATGAATATATCATAGTTACTCTGACTATTTGATCAAATCCACTATCTTCTTAAATTCACTATTTGGGTTGAGTAAAAGGTTACCAGGAGTATCACATTCTGTAACACATCCATCTGATAAAACTATTATTTTGTGACAATTCATTATAGTTGTTATTTTATGAGCAATCATAATCATTGCAGATTCAGTAAAGTGTTTCTCAAATATCTATAATAAACAATTAAATATTTACATCTTTAATCATTTCCTCAGTTTAACTGTCTATGTTTGCTGTAGCTTCATCTACTAAAACAATATTCCGTTTATTTAAAAGACATCGACTCAACGTGATGAGTTATTTTTCACCAACACTCAAATTCTATCCATATACTTAAATTTCACTCTTCAATCCTTTTTTTTTAAGTCCATCTAATTTAAATAATTAACATATTTAAGCAGCTTGCTCTATCTATTTTATATCATATAAATTAAGAGGATCAAGATTTTGTTAAAGAGTTCCCATAAAAATAAGAGGCTCTTATGGAATTACACTGAATTTTTAGCGTAATTCTTTTAATTTTAATTATCGAACACTTTATCCTTCAACATAGAATTTACCATCTGTGCATTCTAACATCTATGTTAATGCCATAATTATTGAACTTTTACCTGCTCCTGTTCTTCCTACAATACCAATCTAATTATATATCGAAAAAAGAATTACTTTTTCTGAAGGATTTACTTATAATGATAATTATTTTAAAACTTATTTGGTTCTTGGCCTATATTAAAAATTACAGTTCTATAATTCTATCAAATGATTTGAATTATACTATTCTTCTTGAATTTAATCAGATATATCATCCTCCTCTAAAGGAATTTAACTTAATATAAGAAATAAAATTACTTTGCTAAATGTAAACATCTTTCAAATGAGACACAGTATATTAGAATATTACCATATGAAACAGCCACCAATAATAATAATAGTGAAACACTTTACATTTATAACAATATTAAGTAAGTCATAAATGGAGTTGATCCTTCTGCATAAAACTAATTTATTATTATTTAAAATAATTACACAAACAACAAATAAGAGAGTTTAGAATATATTAGTAATAGTTCCTGCTATAGATTAATACCATTATTATAATCCATTTAAATTGATCTGATTTCCTAGATCTAAATCAACATTTTGTAAATGACGATTAATGACTTCCTATTATGGTAGACACGTTCTAACATATAGCATCCCACGTAATATTTATTAATAAAAAGAAACTATTGGACTTTTAGAAATAGCTTCCATTCTACTTATTTCTCTAAGTGATCTATAATAAATAATGGTCACCACTATTAGAATTAAGAAGAAAACAATTAAAACTGGTAAAGCAACAGGATTTAAATAAATAAAGCTTGCTACCAAAGGCAAAAGTAAGGATATGATATTAAATATGAGGTTGTAAATCTCATTTGGAAACATATAATCTATATTTGTAATATCTTTGCCTAATCTGTTTATTAATCTTCCTATTAAAATTGTATTGTAAAATTTAGTAAATGATGCTTTTAATAAACTCTTAATAACATCTTCATGGATTTATTCAGAAGTGCTGAGTCCTCTGAATAGAAAATACAAAATTATTATTATGCCTGCTATAACAACTGGAACTTATATAATAGGATAATAAATAATGGCAAGTTCTTTGTATTCATCATCTGGTCTATTTTATTATAAATTATTAATACATAGTATCATCGGCCATCTTTTAATTCCCATATAATTGACATGCCATTACTATTCCTAAATATAAGATTATGATGACAAACATTAACCATTTACCTTAAAAAACAAAGATTTATTTCATTATTTTTGAGTCTACATTACCTTACTTCCTATCCTCTTCTTGAATTAAAGTTGCTTATGTTTCTATTTAACTCTTAGGTGCTTAATATACTTTATCTTCAAATTACTTATCAAGAAGCTCTCTATTTTCTTATGTATTTATTATTATTTGAGATTGCTTTATGTTTTTTAATTCTGCAAAAGTTCCAGAATTTATCAACTTACCATCATCATAAATATAAATCATATCACAATTCTATAGATTAGCTAAAGAGTTTGTAAATAGAATTCTTGTTTTTTATTTTAAATAACCTTCAAAACATTTTTATTAAATTTCATATTTCACTTTAATATCCAAAGCACTTAATGGATCGTCAAATAAATATATATCAGCATCCTTATATACTGCTCTAGCTAAATTGATTCTTTTTTATTGTCCCCCTGATAAGTTGTCACCTTTTTCAATTAAAATAGTATTATCTTTGTATTTAAATCCATCAATATCTTATTACAAGCAGCAACATTCAATCACTTATTGATATTTTTCTTAATTGAAATTGTCCATAAAAGTGATATTATTTTTAATGCTATCATTAATAATCCAAGGTTCTTAAGATGCTACGCTAATTAATCCATTATATGCAATAGATCCTGTATCAACATATGTTTCTCCCAATAAAGATCGTAAAATTGTAGATTTACCACATCCTGAACTACCCACAATAGCTATAAATTATCCAGGCACAACCTTCATAGTAATTTCAGCAGTGAATTGTGTTTTATCATCTTATCTTTATAACATAGCTGTTTATGATTAATCTAGATCATAAATGGTATCTTGATTCTATTACTTCTTCCAACAGGCTTTCACATTACTAAATTCAATGCTATAATTATTTTATTATTTATGAATTTAAACATCCTTATCTTTAAAAAATGTTTCAATTCTATTCAAAGAATTAAAAGACATCTAATAATTCTTAAAAAGTGCTAATAATAATTTTATATATGAATACTTGGTAATGAATCTAAAGTCATAACAATGCTTGTATAATTTTGAATCATAGTGCTTATGATTTTAAAATTAAGTTTCGAGGCAACAACAAAAGCAATTTCCCAACTTAAAACCATAATGATAAGCATTACTAACTTAATAGCAATAACCATCCAGACTTAGTATCTTAAATATTTAAGTTCTATTTTCCTTTATTCTTGTATCTATATAGAAATATATGAAATTACTCTTTTCTCAAAGAAATCTTCAAGACAATTTAATTTGATTTGTTTAGCATACAATAATGATTCATCTACTATTTTTATACGCTAATCTTTTGCTTCCATAAACTTTTTTTATATGACTCCATAATAATGGCCAAATATCAATCCAAATAATACTTGTACAATAGCTCCAATAGCTGGAACTAAACTGTTTTCTTCAAGAGTAACATAGAAGATTATTCCACCAACAATCAATTAAGGAATACAAGTCCATAAACTGAATAGATAAATATAATAATTGGAAGCTTAGATGATATCTACTTATAGAATAGTAAGGAGTTCACCAAAAGAATAGTGTTTAGATAGAGACATTGCAAAAGTTAATGATTTCTGCATAACTCTATATTGTAACGCTCCCTGAATCTTAACACTTAGTATGGTCTAACAATATAAAGTGGATTACTTATTCAAACATTTGATAAGGTTTGATTAATGTAATGGCTAGCAAATAGATTAATTGTAAACTAACAAACATTCCCATACTTCCTCCAGATGGTTTTTCATCGTCTTTATCATAAATAAAGTAACTCTATCCAATATTTGAAATGTATGGTTATACAGCAGTTAGGATAGCTACAATAAAGTACGCAACGAAAGTTATAATCATTTATCCTAATCTCTTTACTCAAGTTATATACTTTAAAATGACCTAGCTAGATCTCCAATCAGAGAATTTGCTCCTCTTTTTCCATTATCGAATTAGTTCTGGTAAATCAAGTAACTTGTATTGGAGGAATCCTCAGAAGCAATTTATGATAAATCACTCTATAGTAATGGATTTATTCTTCCTTTCTATTATCTATTAATCTTAAAACTTACGTTCAAGATGGGATAGCACCAAGTAAAGAAAAATTTCCCTAACTTATTAACAGAGGAATAAGAGTAAGGTTAATTTTAATAAGACAAGTTTTGTATTTTATTCATAATATTATATGCGTTTAATTATCACTTTTTGACCCTCTTTCTAAGATCATCTCTATTAACTTCATTCAAAAGTAGATTCCAAAGTAGAAATCTTAATTAACAAGTCATGGTTATTCTTAAAACCATGGATATTTTAAGATTCTATTCTCTTTTCAGGATCAAAGTTAACATTTTCTTTAAACCCTTTTACTCCTACATATTTAGCTATAATTTTCATAAGATCACCTAATGTTATATTCTATTCATCCAGACCAAGTCTCTTAGATTGGAGTAAAATGTATTCTGAATATATTCAAGAACTCTTCCATTTTTTATGACCTTAAATTAATTGAATTTGAAGTGTAGAGCTCTCTCAATATACAACTATAAGACTAATATTATTTAAAGATTAAATTTTTGAATCATGTGTAGTAATTTAGATGTTCGATACTAAAATGAGAACACTCTAAAGGTATATGGTTTTTTCTAGAACATCGTACGCCTAATTCAGAATCACTTTTATTTTCAGTTATTCTTTAATTTTATACAAAAAGTTTGAGGTTTAAAAATATCGATGCATAACAGATTTTCAATGAAAATTTTTCTTTACAAAGAATTATTTTCTGAGTAAACATTTAATTTCAGAAATAGAGAATTGATACTTGGATCTTTCTACTAAATCTTTTAACTTATATTTCATATGTATTGCATTACCATAATTACTTTTTTTATTCCATAAATATTAATTAGTCTTTAACATATTTAGGATGGATAAGGCAAAATTAACAATTACATTCTTGAATAGATGTCTTTTTCAATATGGTGACTAAATTTGATTTTTTTTGAATGTCACTATTTCTCTAGTAAGCATATCTCTTGCTTTAAATACTTGTGCATAACTAGATTAAATAATTTTATTAGTGACACACCGTCATGAATAAGATTTAGTATTGGATATCTAATTGTGTTACATTTTTCAACCAAGCCCTAAATTTTTCTTTAACAAACGCATTTTATCGTGACTTATCATACTATCACAATAATTTTCAAGTAATTTCCCTTTATTTTATTAATTAGTTTATAATTCATAATGAGTGCTGTAGATTTCCACCTGTATTATTTTTTTTTAAGAGCATAAATGTATTGTTATTATAATTACTATTGTTCATAATTAATGTTTTGTTATATAAATAATTTTGTATAATAAATATTATAAATTTTTCATAAATCACTCATCATTTCAACAAATTCTAAATAATCAATTTAACCATCTTCATCGAAGTCTCCATCTTTCAATAAGGATTCCCAAAATTTGGAATCAATCTTATTATAATAATCATTATCTAAAATAGAAATATGGATTATACCTCCAAGAACTTTTTTAAGTTCTAAAGGAGTGATTTTTCCATCATTATCTAGATCAAAAGTTTAAAAAGCTTACAATAATTTATCTTATTTCAAATAGAAGGATCTCTCCATCATGGCTGCAATGAATTCTATAGTTATAAAAAATCAATTATCAAAACCATTATAATCGATTGATCCAGATGAATTAGTATCAATAGCTTCAAAGTATTGTAACAAATCATTTTTCTTTTCCTTAAATCCATTTTTGAATTCCTCGAAACTTAATTATCCATTTCCATCTTTGTCCAATGTTTAAAACAATTTACTCAGTTCTTCTATTTCTTTCAAACTAACTTAGGAAGCAATTTAAGCAAGCACTATCTAATAAATAATATATAAATTTATACTTTTTTTAATTTACTTTGTTAAGTGAACTATTTCAATGAATCAAAATTGAGACATAATTTTGAATCATTTTGATTGAGATTTTATAACCATTCATGTTATAAGACTTATTGAGAATTTAATCTATGAGAATGTTTACAAATCATCTTTTAAATTAAATCTTTAGCACTTTAAGATACGGTTTAAAATTCAGGTAAATCTAGATTAAGTTTTCCTAATTTGATTTATTTGATAATCTCTCCATCACTTTCTCCATTAAAAGGTGGTATACCAGTGAGTAAAATATATAAAATAACTCCAGCTGACCATACATCACATAATTCATCATATTATCCATCTAAGACTTCTGGACTTATATAATAAGTCTAAAAATAAATAATAATGCATAAGAATAATTACTGAGCCAGTTCTACTTTTCATCATTTATTTTTATGATTATCCTTGTTATCTAAATACACGAGACAAACCAAAATCAATAACTTTTAAAAGACTTCCTGGTTTGTCATCATAAAATAAGAA